ATCTATAAATTGTATAAATGGGAAACCTATCTGCATCAATAGAACATTAATCAAACTACTTCTGCGTGTTTAAAAAAGGTATAGTTTCGCTTATGACAGTTCATTTGTCACGAAAATTATAATAATATGTATTTGGACAACTCCATCAAATCGGTTATCTTCTCTAAAATTATTTATAGTCCCTTGAAGTTATCATATTTCAATTGTATACATGTATTTATCCTATTGACGCATTTCAAAACTTTATAATATTCATGTCAAGTATGCAAGTTTATCCAAATATCGCTAGATCTAGTTTTTGTTCGTTCAGCATTATACTGTATTGATATTTAAAAAAAAATACTTGCAGATAATTAAAACAAATACACTTAAGTTTTGATGACCAGGATAAAATCATCTAATTCTGTAGCGTTTTAATTGTTGTAAGTTTTATTTAAGATACGCAGGAAATTACAGCACTGCAATTACAGCACTGTTCCTGTAATTAAATACTTTTAAGTACGTTTACTAAATTCACTTGTTCATGAGAAGTACACACACACACAATAATGAGTTTACCACAAATACCCCAGGTATAATAATGATAATAAATAGGTTGTTTTTCATTGTTTCAAATGCAAAATCTTAGTTATCTTGACAATAAAATCTCAGTTCAATTCAGACTACCTTATTTCATAAACACACCGAGTTGTCAATAAAGACACCATTTGCGTGTTTTTAGAAAATAGGTTTTACTCCATATGAAGAACAGTCTGAACACCCACACCAAGCTGTTCCATCGTTTCAAGGATTGATGCATGTCATTCTGTATTTCGGCATACAGCGTTCACTACGCGTTTCTTATTTAATGAAATGCGTAGCAATCTTTGATTGATCGACACGTCACCCTGCCTGAAGTGTAAAAACTGTAGGTGACTTCTCCGGATTATATATTTGTCCTAATTAACAATTCCTTCATGTTAAGTTGTTTAGAGAAAATAAAATTTTCCCGAGTATAATTGCAGACAAAATTTACCCTACCCAAGTTTTCGTAACAACAATAACTGAGGTGGATTATTTTCAGTAAGTATTTAAATAGTACTTTTAAAAAAAAATAACTTTATATATGTAAGCCGACTCCTTGAGTTTACAACAATCAATTCACTTCCCCGATATTTTGTGTATATTACTTTATCTTTAATACAGGTAATTCAATTTTTACTGTAACATGCATTTATTTGAATTCATTTGTTGTGTCCTTTCATTGCGAGACTTGGGAAAGACAAATCTTATGACGTTAAATGTTCCATAAATTAATTTGATTTCCAATAGCATTGTCTGCATTTATACTGTAAATACTTATGATCCATTACAGTGACATCAAATCATTGCAGTATAAAAAAGGGGTATTGTAAGCACTGAGCTCACAAAATGGTACCCCATTCCCATTTGAGTATACAAAAAAGCGCACTTTTTTTGGCAATGTGTAAAGCAGATTCTATAAAAGTTGCATTGAATTTCATTCAACTTAGGAGGAGTTGGATAAATAAAATGGGTTCATCATTTATCGAGTAAAATGGCAAAGTCCATGTTTTGCTATGGGAACCCCAAATATCTTTCCAATCGAAACGTAATTTAAAAAAAGAGTTAAAAATGCCATTATATAATAAAGATTCTGTAAAATGTTCATTAAACTGCATTCAGTGGTGAAAGAAGAGTTGACGATAAGTGATGGCTACCCCCAAGTGGATCAAGAATGGCAAAATCCATGTTTTGAAGTTGGAAACCCCAAATACCTGTCCGATCAAAATGTAAAATAGGTGTAGCACAACAGCAATATGTGAATGATTGATTGTACGTTGTTTAACGTCCCATTCGAGAATTTTTCACTCATATAGAGACGTCACCATATACCGGTGAAGGGCTTCAAATTTTGACCTTTACTCAGGGCCATTGAGCAGTGAGGAATCTTTATCGTGCAGACGCCTGCCATGACACGGGGCCTCGGTTTTTAAGGTCTCATCCGAAGGATCCGCAACTTTCACTTCAAAGTGCCGAGCGCATGGCCAAGGAACAGTTGATACCCATTTTTATCGACTTAGGTCAGTCGCGGCCGAGATTCGAACTCACGACCTCCCGATCACGGAGCGAGCGCTCTACCGACTAAGCTACCGTGAACGGTCAGCACTATGTGATAAATATGTGTTTCGTGAAAATTTCATGAAGTTGCATTCAGTGGTGTTAGAGGAGTTGCAGATAAAAGACGGGTACTCCCAATATTATAAAAAGAAAGCAGTGACCATGTTTTCCTGTGGGAAACCCCAAATATGTGTCAGATCGAATCGTAAATAGGAAATGCACAATGCCACTTTGCAATATTTTAAAATTTTTAAAAAGGTTTTTTTCACATTGCATGGCAGGTCATTAACTATTCATTTACAACTCTACAATGGAAATTAGTAGTTATTTTATTCGAAGAATTGTTTACGTTTTTATAAATAAAGAAAATTATTTCATGAACAAAATGCATTTATTCAGTTTACAAATGAACGATAAACAAACACATGTTATACAAATGAATCCAAAAACATGAAAATCTTACCTGCATTAAAAATCCGAAGTTTGACGCTGAACTGATTATATAAAATTCCTTCAATTACATATTTTTGTAGATTACATTCCTACTAAGTATATAAAAAGGCAAGTAAAACTAATGAAAATATGTTTAATGGAGGGTTAGGGTTGGGGGAGAAGCAATGGTCACTCGACAGAACTAATCAAGTATATCAGTTATTAACTGCTTTATATATATATATATATATATATATATATATATATATATATATATATATATATATATATATATATATATATATATATATATATATAAAGAATGCCAACGATTAACCGGTTAACCAACTAATCAGTTGGAAAGATCGTAACCGGTTATAATTTTCATAACCAGTTTTCAATATTTTTTGCAGTATATAATATTTTCCAATATTATTTCTATCTTTTAAAATTAAAAATCTTTAAAAACATTCAAATGCGACCATCGACCAGTTAAATTGTTCACAAGACACTACAGTTGTCAAAAAAGATTTCCACAATTTAATCATTATACATGTATTACTATATATAAACAGAACATAAAGAGCTTTTCTTATACAGTACACTAGTTTACTGTGTTTTATGAATAGTGCATTAGTCTATGCTTGTGATCAGACCCCCCTCCCCTTTTTCAGTGGTGACATAGTAACTGCGCAAAATTCCCATCTTGCGATTCCCGAAATCTATGCCATCAGAGCGATTTCTTGAGAATAAAGTTGTGAAGTTCCCAGTCATCAACAGTGGTCAATGAATCATTTTTTAAAGTAAAATTAGCAGTGGAAAAGAGTAAATGTGAATGTCGTTGAAAATATGGTTTGGCTCTGTTTGAAAAGCGAAATAAACTTTTGTGTAACTGTTTTCTTTGTTTTAAAGACAAAAAAGTCTGATTATCGTAGTTTAGCATTTAATTTTTACACTTTGCTTTGTAAGAAAATAAGTTTATAATAATTCATAATAAAATTATAAATAAGTTTTATCTGCTAGGTTAAGCGGTTACTCAATCGATCAGAAACTAACCCGCGAGTAACCGTTACAAAAAATTATCCGATTCCCATCCCTTATATATATATATATATATATATATATATATATATATATATATATATATATATATATATATATATATATATATATATATATTACTTCTGATCATCAAGTATTATATAACGGATGTGCGATTTTATCGGTATACCGTTATACATTGTGATTTTTTTATTGCGTGATACGCATCGCAATACGGAGACTAAAAACTGGTATTTAGTATGTAATTATAAATTGCGGAAATGATTTTTTGTTCAAACTTTTTTTTACAATTACAGGAATTGTTAACAAAAATGTAAAACAGTGAAACAACGGCATCATAGCATCCAAACATGCTTTATTAGTATATAAATAAAAATAAAAAAAGAAGTGAAGTTCTTTCACACCATATTTGTTAGAAAAATCATGGAAATTCATTTAAAATCATTTTTTTGTTGTTGTAAATATATCATATTATCGTGATATTTTTTGAAAAAATTGTGATATATCGAAACACAAAATTCTAGGCGATACCCAAAGCTATATTAACTGTTAGTCTTATGAGACGTACGTTTTGTTTTGTGCTGTTTGGTTTAATGAAGTTGCAAAATTGTCGGATTTGTACCATTCTTAGTTATAATGCAAACGTGATACTTCCCTAAATGAGATAAACTAATTTATGGTTGCCGAAAGTGGAAAATAAACTGATGTTAATACCGCAGGAGACAGAGCAGTAACATCTCTAATTAATGAGAAATTTTAACATTTTGCACAACTTCTCCCTCTGTAAGCCATTTTTTTCCCGAGATATTGAAGGGCTATTTTTAAAGAAATACAAAGTATAATTTTATAAAATGTATTGAGAATTATGATATCTTCTTGCACCATTTCTCTCTCTGTAAGCCTTACTTTTCAAGAGATATTGAAGGGCTATTTTAAAGCAATACAATGTATAATTTTATTAAATGTGTTGAGAATGATATCTTTCATGATTTGACATAACTATAAAAAGAGAAGCTGAATTATGACTTGTTGTAGACAGAATACCACATGCTTCCTAGTGCACGACAATAATTGTAGTTGACACAGGACATATTTTAAAATTATTCAATCAATACAATAATAACTTCCATTGATCTCAACATATCAATCATCAACCCCTTGCACTTTTTTAAATGCACCTGTTGAAAGTAAGTAAATCTATTCACCTCAAAGTCTATTCTAGTGGAATTCAATTTCTTGCAATTCTCTAGTGAACGCATTACTAACCAATCCAAATTAACTTTGACAAATTGCTGCTATTAATAACCCATATTTAAATATGCATTAAGAAAGCAGTGTGATCATCATGAATGCTATAGCTGATTTACTTCTGACAGTTAAAGAGGGATTCTTGTTTTGGTTTCCTTCATGTTAGTGAGTAAGGGAACCCGGCTTGCTATGGAGGGTGCAGTGATTTTCACCAACTGCTTTCAATACTCGGAAATGGATTATGAAGCATTTGGGAGGTACAGTTAGCATTCAGCAAGGGAACAAGACCCATCTGTCAAAAATCTATATATCTATCATTTAATCTGGGAAGGTTTTACATAACAAATTATTTTGATATAATTATCTTTCTTTAAGCTTCGTTTTATCAGTGTATATCTGGAAAAGAAAATATTTGAAATACTTTAAATGCGCAATGATAAATATGCAGTTTATGCCTTTCATCTGTTTCTTATCAGTTTGAAGAAATGCATGAGGCCAATAAATTTCTAATATTTCGGTATTTCTCTCTGGATAATGCAGCAGAATGGATTATTCAAATTGCTTGGTGATAAACGATATTTTTTTTTAAATGCAGCATGTCTAAAGAGAAAGAAGAGAAAAAATCATTGCAAAAAGATGTTTAAAAAAAATCAAAATTTGATTACTTAAATTGTAACAAATTATAAACCAACTTAAGAAACATCCTCTTGGCGATGTTATTGTATCAAACATTTATCAAATACAGAAGTGCCTTTTACAAATGAGGGTTACTCAAAGTAAAATAAAGTTTTTTTTATCTTAATTTCTAAATAATTAAGACAAATCTTTCTTCTGATTAATTTTAAATTTGTCTGTTCTAAGACATTAAAATCATAAATAGTAACTAAATGTGTATAGAAATATCTGAAATATACTTAAATTAAATAGAAATTGTCTATTAAGTTACTTGCTTAATAATAAGTCCAAACTTAATTTAACTCAAACTTTTTATTCTACTTGTAAAACTTGAGAAGAATGAAATCAAACTTTTATAATCAAATTCCTGAGCTTTTAATGGTATTACATGAAAACAAAATATTGTTTTATCCTTCAAATCTTATACAGCAAATACTGTATACAAAAAACCCTAACAAAATGGGTTTTTTTTTTAAATGAAATTGTGTTAAAAAAAAATGGGTTGGAGTTAATTACTTGTATTAGGAATTCTATAATAATCCCATACATCACACTGATAAAATATTAAGTCTTACTCTTGACATTCTGTCATCAAAGATCATATGACTAGATAGAATGAAACACTTCTCTGTGACTATAACAAGGCCTTCAATAATTTTATTTTTGCATCCCTTCATGCATTTTTGTCCCATCTTTTGAAGCAAATAGCAAATAGCTGCTTCTAACAACTAAAAGATCATTCCGTATCTGGTAACTTTCTGATTTATTGTGGTTTTAGTCTGCTATTAACTGAATTGTCAAATGAAAGTCAAATTAAAACTAAATGCATTATAAACTTCAAATTGTTCTCAATTTTGGACAAAATTTTTATAGTGAACAACAACTGCGTTTAGTTTGATCCTTGTGTATCTTACGAAATCAAATTTAAAAAAAAAAGAGAGTGAATAAAAATTTTTAATTGACATTTAAAAATGAAATTCATTTTTAAAGAGAATTTTTGGGAAGTTTTAAATCTGTCATGAAGTTATTTTATCACATTTTTATTACAAGCAAATACCAGTACATTAATCAATTAAGCCCCAAATCTTAATTTCACTCAAAAAATTCACACAAAGTTCACAACATTTGCTGGTAATTAAAAGCCTCAGCAAAATTGTAGATCAACACTGAGCAAAATATGGATAAGTAGGTTTATTGTCACCAGAAGATAATTAACTTGAAAGAGATGGATCACATCCTTTAAAATTCCTAATACATCACTATTTCTACTTTTTATTTATAGAGCAGAGTTTTTTTTTTTTTTTTTTTTTTTTTTTTTTTTTTGCTTCTCTTGAGGTAAATTTTCTTCAAATTCAACTTCTATTCAATACTTTTAGACATTGAAGATTAATGCATATTTAAATTGTTCTAAATAATTTCAGACATAAAATTTACATGAAAAATCCTTGTTCTTACCGATTTTTTAAAAATATAAATGTTGAATGGAGCTAAAATGCAAAATGTTTAAACATTTTAGTTGCAATTTTAATCAATTACATAGTATAATATATAAATGGCAAATATTCAAACGAATGTACAGATAATTAACTGTAGAATTTTTAAAACCCCATAGAAAAATTTGGCAAAAAAGATGCATATATTTTTTTTCCCTTAGAAACTGAGAATTAGAAAAATAAGATTGCTTTCAGACTAATCTAAGATGCTTAACCAAGTCTTTTTGAGGAAAAGATGATTTTGCTGGTGAAATGACAAGTGTATAATGTAAAGCTACGATACATGCAGTTAATTATTTTAATGTAGAAATCTGGACTTTCTTTTGGAATGAAAATACCAAATATAGTAAAGATGTGCAGTATTTGTAATGTAAGGAGGCCTAACAGGTTATCTTTAAAAAAAAACAGTTGTCAAACATTTTTTTTTAAAAAACTTGAATGTGCATAATGGGTGTTTTATCAACATTTCATATATTTATTCATCATTTCTCTATCCTTGCATTTCGTAATAATCTACAGTGACATAAACTGCAGCATGGAAAGACATATTTTAATTGGAGAAATTAGATACCATTTTGTGGATATTTTAAATAAATAAATAAATTCCTGATTATATGTATATGTATTCCTGATTATATGTGTGAAAACTTGATAGGTGGATAACCTTAACGTTAAGAAAATATGCACCAGCTTCTAAACGAGATAGCTTTCCAAACTGCTAAATTCTACATCTTTTTAATTCCAATATCAAAAATATTTTTCCATTATGAAAACTTTGTTATGGCCATTAATTTGCTAAAAAAATTAGTAATTTTGACTGTTTTAAAAATATCACTCCCTCACCCCTCAATAAAAAAAAATTGTAGTGAAAAATCAATTTATTATAATGGCTACTTTGCCTCAGTGACAGGAAAACACATTTAAATGAGGCTACTACAAATTATCACCAATGTCTAACTTTCAACATTAACAGTAGGTATACTAATGAGATTCCTTGTCATAAATTAATTCCTACAAATTGTGGCCATGCAATTTGTCTCCTATTTCATAGCAGTGACATATGAGACCCAGACAGGTGAACAGAGCTTGATGCAGTCACATATGGTATGGTGCCTCAGATAATTAACAAATCTGCCAGAAATAAATTGTATTTAAAAAAGTCTATTTAAAAAAAAACAAGAGGACTTTGGGCCACAGTGCTCACCTGAGATACCTTGGACCTGCTGTGCTTTAGAACAGTGGTGCACCCAAACCACTGAGGCCATGATTTGAACAAACATGAATCTACACTATCTGAGGGTGCTTGCTTATTAACACGATTAATCATGAATAAGATGTTCATTATAAAAAGATTTTAATATTTGTCTTTGACTCTTGTTACCCCATCCTACCTAATAGGCTTCCTCAATGGTCACAATTTGAAAAAAAAATGAATCTACATAGCCTAACAACTTTGCATATTAATATTACTATTCATGGCCTTATTGTTCTTAAGAAGAAGATTATTATACAGATTTGTCCCTGCGTACACCCATCCTACCGCTAGAGGTCACGATTTGTAAAATCTATAATATAGAATCTATACTACCTCACCTCACGTAGTTTTCACATAATTTCAATCTTTTCTGGGTCCAGTGAGAACATTGAGAAGAAGATTTTTAAAGACTTTCCTATATATTTCCACGTTAAACATTGATTCTCTATTGTGGACCCAACCTAGTATCCCCTGGGGCCACGATTTTAACAATTTAGACCTCTATTCTACCCCAGGAAGTTTTCACATAAATCATCTTTGCTGATACAGACATACATGTTGTACGGACAGGCGCTGGACAATGGATCATCAGAAAAGCTTACTTGAGTTTTTAGCTCAGGTGAGCTAAAAATCATTATGTCTATCTTCATTTTCCATTCACAACTTCTATATGCCTGCACCTGAAACATGGGCACTGTAAAAGCATATTAGACTACAATAATCTATATATGGTACAGGTATAAGTCTTTCAAGTTATTGTCACTTGCAGGAATAAAAATGCCTTTAAGTGTATTTTCAAATTAACTATACAACTCTTTGTTAAAATATATATATATATATATATATATATTTATAGAAATATGAACTTATTGTACTTAAGTAGGCACAATTAGAAGCTGATTAAAAACAAAAAAAACATGGGACTGGCGCCACTGTCCACATTTTGCAATTTACTCAAAATTGAAAAAAAATTGTACATATATTCAACATAGAAATGATGTGCTAAAATTATGAAACATTCAACAAACAGAAAAGACATTTTCTGCAACAGTTAATGGTACAAAATGGTCCCTTGGATTCTGAAATATTAGTATATGCTTTTAAAATCAAGTTTCTTAAATTAATAGAAAATTAGTTTTAATTGTATCAGAGACCATCACAGATGTCACCAAAATGCTCCCCTAGTCCCTTTTGGTGCCTTGTTCCCTGTAAGCTTCCTTGAATAAGTCAGTCAAATATATTTGTCGTTTTAAGCATTACACATGAGCGCATGTGCATGCATGTGCAATGATGATCATGTCTTTTCGTCTATGCTCTTCATGCATCTTAATATTCTGAGTATCAAAACATTTCTTAAAAAAAAAAACAACTTTACGGCTACATCAAGTATATTTGTCGTTTTAGCATTGCACGCGCGCACATGCATGCATTTTCATGATGACCGTGCCATCTTGTCTTCACTATTTATATATCTTAATATACTGAGTATCAAAGCATTTCATCAAAAAGTATAAAAGTTATGGCTAAATAAAGTATATTTGTCATTTTACGTAGTGCACGCGCATGCACGTGCATGCAGTGCATGATGACATTATCTTCTTGTCTACATGATTAATTGATCTTTATATTCTGAATATCAAAGTATTTCATCAAAAAATATAAAAGTTATAGGTATATCAAGTAAATTGGTCATACCACGCATTGCACGCCCCCGCACGTGCATGCACGTGTGCGCAAAATGACCTTCGTTCCGCACATCTACATAACATGCCTATTAACCCTACAATATTTTAACTCAATCGGATGAGAAGTTTTCGAGATCACTCGCTGACAAAAAAAAATATCCGGGAAGAAAAAAGAAACAGTAAAAATAATATGTTCCCAAACTTCGTTTGGGGAACATAGCAAATAAGAATAAAAACACTTTTTTGACTTGGAATGAAACACTGGAGCAAAGATAATTGATTTTAAGGTTTAATCAGCCTTAGTTTGACCTTAATTCAATAAGATTCACAATATAAACAAAATCTGTATGGTTTGACTAAATGTAATCTCTGGGGATTGTAGAAATATACAACTCTGCCTTCCTGGTGATTGACTTGTAAAATCTTATAATCAACATATAAACTATGACCAAAATTCAATTACCCAATTATTGAAATAGAGGGGGAAATAGATTAAGATGGCATTTAGAAATATGCAAATTCAATCCTGAAAAAGACAATTATCCCGCATGCCCATACGGCAGTTCATTTTTCTTCTGTTCCCAAACTCCATAAGACTTGATGAAACTGAAATAACATTAAGATACTCAGGGCGAAAAATATAATCGCTTTATTTCCTGAGCTGCCCCTTTTCTACTTGATTGAAAGTAAAACTAGAATTTGCTGCAGTTTTTTTGGAGGGCCCCAAATTGCATTAGATCTTTCTTCCCTTCTGATTAGCATGAAAAGCTCTTATCTCTAAGAGTATAATCCAGCAACTTTGATTAAAGAAATCCCAAGATACCCTAGTCACTAGAATAGAACAAAAGGAGTCAATTTAATCCCAAACTAAAGGCACACTGCCATTTTAAAGATAAAATGCCAAAATAAATTGAGGTTTTGTATACTTTTTAAACAAATTTCTTGAAGGATTTTGTTTGTATATTTTAACACTTGTCACAAAATGCCTTCAGTCTATCTCTTCTGAAGAAAAAATTACAATTATTCAAACCTTCATTAACTATCTATACGATATTAACAGATGGCAGTACTACTTTTGCATCACTGAGTTGAAAAAAATTATTACTTCTATGTAAGAAATGTGCAAAATAATTTTAGATTTTAGATTTTTTTTAATCACGTTATGAAAATTATTGCGAAATTGCTGTGGTATTCAGCTGCAAAATAAGAACAGCTGGTAGTTTTTCCCAACCTATGTTCATGTAATTAATTAATTATTTTGTTGCATTTATATAAGAATTACGAAAACTTGTTAGCAGATATTCATAAAAATAGTACAAGAGTTAATGGAGGCAAAAGCTATTGAGTACATCAATCTCATAAATCATTGACTAGAAATAATAATTATTTGGACATTTTTGGTGTCAAAGAATTCTTTAATCTTTTAAAAATAGCAACTATAAAACATACTTCCTCTAGTGGAGTTCTATCAGCAAGATTTTGTGTAAACAAGCTTGACAGGCCAGTTTGGTTAGGATGATATGGGGCGGAAATTGTCAGCCTTCAAAATGATAATAACCTTGACCTATTTAACATGTGATTTACAATTGGAAACAGTCACTGCAGCATTTTTCTTGATAATTTACATATTAATATGTCTCTTATGATAAACAAGGCACTCTAATGAGAATCATGATTGACAAGCATTCACATTTTAACATTATGTATTTGCTTATCAATATGAAACTGAGAGAATAATTTATTGGACATTTGCTCTTTTCAGATACCATTAAAGGTCAAAATATGATTGTCAATCATAGGGCTTCCTCCAGTTCTGGTTAAAAATCACATGATTTAGGATCATCAAGTGTCTCTGCCTCTCCCCAAAATAGTTCAATAAATATTCTCCGTCTCAGCTTCAATAACATTAATTAAGATAGCTTGGTTATAAATGGAAAGCTGACATACTTTATGAAAAACTTTCATATTATCTCTTTTGAATTGCGATTTTTTTTTCACTGAAAGACATGTAAATATAATTCTTTTATTTGCATCGACACAAAAAGTTATAAATGTGTCTCTTATTCTCTCATTATTTTTGTCTTCAATACATTAAAAGCCAGTACATGTAACTTGTTCTTGGATTTTAAATAACATAATTTAAGGCTTCCCTTATATTTCATACAGCCAGTCTATAGTTTTTACAATGTTCTGGTTTCAGTTCTTTACATATTTGATCTATTTCATTATGTAAATTTTTCTCTTAAAAGTTCCCCGCAGAACATAAATATGATGCCTCCTTTGAAGTTTTTATGAAACAATATGATTACTGAGTATATTAAACTTCTCCTGATAGACACTTTTTATACTGTATATACTTAGCAATTAATTATAGATTACCTTAAAACAAAAAAAAAATCAAATTCTTTGAGTACATGATTACAAATTCAAATCTAAAAGCATGTACTTGAGTGTAAAGCTCTAACTTCAGGAAAGAAATGTTCAGAGATCTAGAAAAATGCACTTTGAAATATACCTCATGAAATTCTTTCTACCATGTAAGATTCAATGTTCCTATGTATGTAATGCAAATCTTGCCCACTATGTTGGATTTATACTTCACAACTGAAACCAAAAGTAAATAATTCATACCAGCAGTACTTTATAACACTGTAGTTTTCTGGTATACTCGTATATAGGTATCCAACTGGGGAATGTTTAATACATTTGCTATTTTTTACAATATTAAAATAGAATTGTGTAGAATTACACTATAGTTTAATAGATGAAATAAAATTCAGCACTGCACTGAAAACACATTTTGCTTGGAAAGTGTGAAAAAAAAAAAACTATAGGAAGCAATATCAAAGATAAAGCTACACTCTGAATGAATCATTGTTTTATAAAGAATGGACTAACGGGCATGACCAAATGGTACCAGTTAAAGTCTCTGCTGAGACTGTAGTTGTTCTATAGGATAATCTAAGAGAGAAATTGCAATATTTTTTTTTACGTTATATACATTTTTCTCTGAAATGCAAAAATTTCTGCCTTTAAATTAGAAAGAAAAAACAGCATCTATGTTATTTTAACTACAAATGATTTTTTTTTAAAATTTAAATGTCAATCATTAAACCATTTATTGCAGTTAAAAAAGAAAAAACAGAATTAATTTCTACTGCTACCAGATTTTATAATTTTTATATTGAAACTCAAGAAACTTTATTAATTCTGAAGTCATTGTTCGTATTTTATTGATGTATCAGTGTCAATACTGTTCATTGAAATCAAGCATAGGTAATCAAAAGATTACGGATGCTCAACTTGACGAATAATATCCAGAAGTAAAGCAAAATCTCACAACAAATTAATTTTTTTGCTAATGTGTCTCCATAGATGAATCATCCAAGCAAGTTTGATCTTGGTAGGACTATATTTACTTGGGAATGGACCTGCTACAAGACTAAATAGTCAATCATTCAGAAAATGTAGCACTGATGTAGAATCTGAAGCAAGTCTTAAAGTGTGCAACATTAGATCTATATTGTATCATGTTTCGTCACTATAGGGCTTATTTGGGAATGAGTTCTAAATCTTTAATCTGTTCAATCCTTTAGAGAAAAAAAAATAAGTCAGATCCAGCAACCAGTTCAAGTGTGCATACCTAAATGCATAATCCATGCGTGTTTGGTTTTGAAAAGGCTTTTAATTTAAGGTACTTGGGATTGGACTTGCTCCAAAAACTGTAATTTGGAAGCACTGTGAAGTAATTTAAATGGTGACATAGGTATCATTTTGGGAAAAATGTACAGATATTTCTTTTTTCTAACCATCATTCATCGAGATTAAAATATTATATGTGTCTTTATGTAGTCTATTTTGACTACCAAGTTTTACTGATATTGGGACAAAAACTGTATGAGAAGTACAGTTGACTCCTTTATTTTTATAATAATCATGATCATTCATTGACTTTAATAATCAATTTATATAGAAATAATTTAATTCTGATTCTAAGATTTAATTAATTTAATAAGATTAGATTAGAATCTAATAATTCTTAGTTAGATTCTTAATTAGAATTCTTAATTCTAATTCTAGAAATACTTATGATTCTGCTATAAATGGTTGAAACAGGCCATTTGATTGGATAGAAAAAAATCGTTTTTATCGTATATAATCTGTGTTGCCTACGTCACATTGACTTACGTCAAAAACGTATCAATCCGCTTGGCGTTACATTTAAAACCTGAAGAATTTGAAGGCCTTTTGAAGGGAAAATTATCTTATTTTTTACACTTAATGATAGAAAATTGAATTTTAAGGAATAAATTTAATAGCAACCAAAGTTATACTTGTATAACCTGGTTTGGAACAGTTTACGCTTTTCAACCAAGGTTATATAGTATAACCCAGGTTATACAGGGTAGCTATCAAATTCATTCCTTAATTATATTTTTAACTTAGTGTTTTTTTGGAGAAATTTTTATAAAATCAGACAGAAACTGAAGAGAATCAGCAATTTAAAGACTCATTTACAGACAGGGGTAAATAAATGGAGCTAGGATGGACACCTAACCAATGCACAACCTCTTCTAGTCTTTGACCAACAGAGCTAACTAAAAAAAAGACAGATTAACAATTAACCCTTATATTCTTCTTTCATCATTAACATCCTAGATTTATGTGATAATAAGCTCTTGAAATTAATTACCACACATACTTCTAGGAAAGTGTTAGTGACGCACGTCGGGATATATTTATTAAACAAGAACACTTAAAGGCTAACTACAGAATTGTTTTCCAATACTGTAACAGGAGATTTGTAATGGAAAAAGGCATGAGAAGAACATTACAAATGTATTTACTTTGCAGTTGGCTTTTATTATAATAATAATGATTAAGGGATTATACCTTGATAATTTACAAATTAAAAATTTGAACACTTGCGCCAGTATCTAAGCTCATATTCAATTCCTTTAAAATACTGAAATTTCAAATTATTACCTCATGACTTTTTTTTAATTCAAATAGCTTTATTTTCTTTTATTTTTACCATTTTAAACAGCATCCTGGAACTCAGAAAGGAAAAGTCACGGGATGCTGCCAGGTCAAGGCGAGGAAAGGAAAACTATGAATTTTACGAACTGGCCAAATTACTTCCACTTCCTGCGGCCATCACCAGTCAACTGGACAAAGCTTCCATCATCAGACTGTCCATCAGCTACCTTAAACTGCGTGAATTCTCAGGGCTTGGAGACCCACCATGGAACAGGGATCATTTCTCTGCTAATAAATCCCTAAAAGGTAAGCTAAACTAAGACATGTAATTGATAACATAAAATTGAGACTTTGATCTTTTTTTAAAAAATTTTCTTTAGTGTTAATTTTTTTGTGTAAATGGCTATCAGAATTACTGAAAACGTATATATTTGGCAGTGTCTTCTATTTAGTGCCTTTCGTAGAAGGCAGCTTCTACTAATTTAAGTATGTCGCTCAATGTCTTGTATGTATATATTTTTGTATCTTATAAAGATTCTTATATCTTATCAAAAAGTGATAAATCAAATCTTGGCCAACTTTTTGTGAAATGAATTTCCTCTAAATATTGTACATGCTAAACATAAAAAAATTACGGTATGTAGCTGAAGATAATCACTCCCTTAAGGATAAAAATCTGTATTGAGTTGAATTTTGACTTTGTTTAAACACTGCACAATCCCTTAATCCAGGGCACTCTTTGGGTGGTGCGAGTCAAACTTGTCCAAGAATGGTTTACAGATCTTTACCTCTGATCTTGAAACTTGTCCAGTTCACTGCATGCTGTTGTGAAAAGGACACTCTTTAGGTGAAATATGTTCCAGACTGGGCCAAGGGAGCTCCCAACAAGGATCTCATACATGTAATAGACATTTAGCCTTGACCTTTTATTTAGAATCTTGTCTTAAGGTCACTACTCACCCTTTATCCCTGAGCTCTGTTGGTATGTGTGAACCTGATAGGGCAAAGCAGAGATGAATATGCTCCAAACAAGTAAAAAAGCAGACTGATTACTAAAGTACATCCACAGAGTGGGGCCCTAGGCTAATTCTATTATTATTATGTCTCATGCATGTACTTTAAACGGTCATCAAAATATGATCGATTAAATACAAGAACCTTATTATCACTTCATTTATCACAAACATTTCATTACGATAGTCACAATGTAATAGGAGCTAAGCTATTCCTATAAAAGTTAGTGTTGCAGGAGGAATATTGTGGATGGGTTTGGGATGGGGGTATAGGAGGTACTTAAGGAGGATTATTATAACATTTAGACATCATACCACATTTAAAATATTCCTCTCAATGTTTTCTTAACTGTTTTCAATAACTTCTTAATTCTGAATGAAATATATTAGGTAATGTTATTCTAAATGTTATTTCTATTAGGTGATTATCAACTTACTCAAGGTTTTAAACAAATATATGTATCTACATTGAATATGTTTCAGTATCTGCAGACAGCAGATGGCCCATTTCAATATTTCCTACGTGACTGCAAGCAGTCAAGTTTATCAAATTTTTTATTTTGTTGACACAAATATTGGAAAACAAACCTATTTTTTTGGAAATTCCAAAACATTTTAAACGTCAAACTAGTATAGGACATCAACTGTAACAAATGAACATATTCATTTAACCTTGCCAATCATAATAAATATGTAATAATTTAAATACATCAAATAATTTTTTTGTTGAAAATTGTTAAATTTCTACCAACATTAGACACTTATACAATGTAAGAATGTCAAAAATATTACAACGGCATGATTCTTTTCTTTTAATATAAAGTTAATTTAGTTTGCTTTTGTGAAAATATTATAATTTTGATTCTTTATTATAATTATTATTTTTTAATTGCACACCTGTCAGAGACATTTGAATTAGTCCTTACATAATGTATAAAATGTAAATGACAACAAACAAAAAAGGACAATTATAAAATAAAATTTATTTCACATTTTGACTCAACTGTTGCAGAATACGCCTGTAACATTCAATAAACAATATTAATAATGTAAAACATGTACATTTATCTTATTTTACTAATTGAATTATGTAACAGTGCTTTTGATTCACATACTAGTACTTCTTTTTGTGTATTATTCAAGAAAAGTAAGAACAATCCGCCTTAGATAATTGCAAAACATTTCTATCTATCTTTTTGAATGATAATGTAAAAAAAAATCTTTCATTTTTTTTTTATACAATTATCAAATCAGTTTTAATAATATCAATCTTTAACAGATTTTTCATTAATTTTTTATTGGGACATCTTATAATGTTCAAAATATGAGAAAAAAAAATATGAGGAAAAAAATTCCAAACCATAAAATTGTAAAAATATATGATCTACATGATAGAGAATGTCATATGATATACCCCAAGATGCACCTGTGATTATGGGAATTAACAATCTGAACAATCCTCAGGCCTTGTTATCATTAACTCCTCTTTAAAAATGACAAGAAAATATCAAATGAATGGATAGCCATAAAATATATCATAGAGCCAGGTGTTATCTGATAGATTCATCATCCTCCCATTAAAAAACAAGCAGCACAAGGCTTTCCTCCCAATAGAAATATGGTGGAATATATAAGATTATTAAGATAGAACATACGACAACCAACTGGCAAGTAACAGGAATTACTAATCTTTTGGAAAAATGATAAAAGAAAAAAATTGTCTTCCTGTTTCTTCAAAAACACCTCAGATTATTTTCAACTCAGACAACAAAACCTTGCAATGTTTTTAAGAGTAAAAATATATCCAAAAAACAAAAACTTATTTCCAAAAATTGTAAAAAGTCAATCATTTAAACAGTGCTAATCAGGAGAGGATCACACAATCTTCCTACATATTTTGCTTTAAAGTCTGTCTGATTGAATGTGATTCTTTATATAAAAAAGAGAAATTAGTGCAGAACAAGAGCACAGAAGGCCCCATTCATGCGATTACTTATGTCAAGTCTAAGTTAGAGCTGGGCACAGCTCCGAGATACACATTTAATTCTACCTTGATCTGATAGCAAACGGAATCAAATGAAGCACATCACCAGAGCTGATACCCTATCCATGTTAAACAGTTTCAACTCCTTCATGTTTTTTCACCCTCGTCAGTTTCATCTGACCTATTGGCAATATCTCAGCATTTTGCATTGCTTTGCAATGCTGGTTTTCTACTGTTTTTCTACCACTTTTGCAGTAGAGCAGTTTTAACAGACACATTTTATCTGCTTGTTCATCGCTCAGAAAATTGTCGAAATGAGAGTTTGTAATTCTAACCAAGATTTATTAACAGACCCCCCTCGAAATATACTTCTTCAAATCTGAAATTTGCAATAAATTATAGCAAATTACTTGCATGTATGGCACATCTGTTTTATCCCACACATGAAATGGCTTTATAGCATTTCAATCAAGCAATGGACATTAACTTCAAATTTCAACAAATTGAATGTCAGATGATTTTTCTTGCAAAAAAACTACTACCAACAAATTTTTAATCTCAAACAGAAATTTTAATTAGCTACCAACAATTTGTTGGGGCGTAAATTATTCCACATTAGAAAAATAAATCATCTTTTCAGTTAAAAGAACAACTATTACTTAGATAAGTAATGTTTCTAGTGCTTGTTCATGTTGTACTCAATCCATAGATATATAAAAATGTCACCAAAGCATCAGATCTTTGAGTCAAACCTGACAACTTTAAAACTCAGCAAGTACAAGAATATACGTTTAGTGATTTGGTTTGTCAGATCCACGAACCAAAACGTTTGCCTTAGGCTGTTCGGCAAAAGGCAAACAGTTTGGTTCGAGGGTTTGGCAAAATGCATGTTTCCTAGAACACAAGGCAATAAATGTTTTGTTAACGTTTAATTTTTTATTTTACGGCATCTTCCACTGGATTCAATGTTTGTGATTGATATGAAAAAATTTTGGTGTAATTTTTGTTTACCTGCACTGCGTACTTAAGAACCATCTATACAAAACACACTATAAAGAGTTCTGATTCTGTGGTATTTTTATGCAATTAGAGTGATCTGCTCTTAGATCAAAAATAAAATAAGTTGATATCTACAGAGTATTTCTCAATTTGCAATTAATTCAAGAACACATAACATTTCACTAGACCAAGCTATTAATCAAACACATTATTTTCAGGCCCGCAGAACGCGGGAGGAAGGGGGCAGGGGGGCGCCCCCACTTTTTTCTTATTATAGTATTTTGCTATAGTAAATTTTCCTTTAGATGCTGATCCCCCCCACCTTTGTTGTTGTAAGGTCGAGTACAGGCAAATTAAAGGATTTGAACAGTAAATAAGGGGGGTTTTTTTGTTTGTCAGATAATTTTGGGAAGTTGCCCCCCCCCCCACTTTTGGTCAGTTTAAGTTTTTTTTTCTTTTTTTTTGGGGGGGGGGGGTGGAGTTGCCCCTTTTTGAAACCATTGCTACGGGCCTGATTTGCATGCATTTTCCACACTTAAATAAACAATGGCGATTTCTGTCCATTAATACTAAGTTGTCTGAGAGCATTTTTCCTAGGAGTAAAGTAAATACCAGATTCCCTATTTTGAAAATGAAATAGATAAACTCAATTATTATACTTTTACACAGTATTGTTTTCTCAATTTAAAAAAAAAACAATTTTATTTAGTGTAATAGAGGGTCCTTAACACTGCCAATTCTGTAAATGTAAATAGGATATACTGATCAAGCGTACAGTACATCGAGGGATAAGGTGTACTGTAAATAACATCATAGCGATCCAACATCTCACCTACCGGTCCAACATCTCACTGAGCGGATTTTTGACTGCTCAGTAAAATATTGGAAATGTTAGATTTTTTATAAAATAAAATATAAAATAATTTTATAAAGGAAACAATTTTAAAGGTATTGCAATAAATTTTATCATACTCTAAAATAATGTAAAGTGATCTTTATTTGGTTTCCTTTTATAATGAAATAAATTAATGATAAATATCTTGCAGGGTCTGGACGTAGAAGAAATGTATCCAACATAGCAATGGACATTTTTGATAGTCATCAAGGAACCCATATACTTCAGGTAATTTGCTAGTAATAAAAAAAACTATAGGTGATTATTACAACGAAAAAAATCATTCTGTGACATATTTTGACACTCTTTCAACTCTTAGTTAATACTGCAGTCAACTTCAAATATCACAATAAAGTATATTTAAAATCATGACATGGTGAAGCTCTACGCACCTATTGTTTTAGTACATATACAGTAAATATTCCAATATTTTTAAAGAAAAAATGTCAATGTCAAATCGTGCGTAGCCATTGTCCAATTTTCACTCCTTTATTATGAATGGAGAATACTACTACTAGAAAAATAATTCTGAGATCATGGTTCATCCAGACTCCAAGAACAAGATTTCAAAAATGTTTCAATACCGTACCAGATACCAGATTTTTTTAATACCAAGCCAGCTCTGTCAATTATAAACAAACTGGAAATATTTTAGTACACATGTCCCCTATTTCAATTGATTTAAAATTAAAAATCACACAGAGCTTCTGCTGGTACATAGCATGATTTTAGTTGTGAACCCGACTAAAAATTTGCTAGGTGAAAGGTAAAAAAAAAGATTCAACATCAAAAAAGTTTTTGAAAGAAAATATTTTTGAGAGAAATTCAAGAGTTCCCCTTTTGTTAAAAACCATGTCAGCAAAATATCAGAATATTGGACGCAAATTTTTATTATTTAGAATTTCATGTAAACAACTTTATGCCTAAAAGACGAAATATCTTTCACAATTTTTATTACTATATAATCAAATAATATTTTTACAGCTGAGATTGAGGTTTTTAAAAAAGCTTCTCAAAATGTGAAAGAACTTTAAATGCCCATCGTTTTCTAGACACTGTTATAATGAATTTCACCACTGTGACAGATCAAAAACTGACTGTAGCTAATGATATGGTTTGTTTGGTGATAAATCATAAAATTTCCTGGTAATCATCATGCAATAACTCATTAATTATATTAAACATTGTTCATATAGTTAGCTTTGACTGGAACCTTTACCTTAATTGACCTGCTTCATTGTAACAATTTATGGCAACATCCTAATTTTGCCTTATCTTTGAAGTCCAGAAACCCAATGGAAACCCATCAAAAGCAAAATATTATGCAGAAATGTAAATGGCTAGACAATTCATTTGAATGATTATGAATTAATTGATAATGTCAACCAGAAAAAAACCCCTTTTGGACAGCTTCTCAAATCATCTTTTGATAAAAAAGGAGATTTTTGTTGCTTAGACAACAAGACTCTATATTGTTCAAAGAAGTATTTTACAATGCTTTGCAATTTCCTTAATTCATGAAAAATACCCCCAAATTTCACTGCATTTCAAAAACCTATAGTGAGTAATAATCCAAGTTCCTTTATCACATAACAAAATGTCCTATTATATGACTTATTTTCATTGAAAGTCTACACGTCAAAAAACATTTATTACCGAAAGTACACACTTTAATTATAACCGGGCCCTCCTCAAAAATGACAAAACAGGTTATTTATTCAAATTGAAAAAAAAAAAACAACACTAAAATACATCAAATGTTCTTTTCTTGAAAGGTTACACTAGTACAACAATTAATAAAACAGAATTTGAGAAGTATTAAATATTATCAATCTGATTTCCTTATGTCAATACAAGATAAATTCTAGCAAATGATCAGTTGAACTTTTACAGGAATAGCACGAAAGTTCATAAAAAATGCATGCACTCATATGTAATCATGGTAAAAATTATGGAGAGAACTCATTCATTTAATAACAATTTAAGACATTTCAAAATGAATTCACCAAACATTATGTAAACAGTATACAGTTACCCCTCCACAAAAGGGCGCTTTCAGAAAAGGAACAGTTTCTGAAGTTATCATTTTTATTTTTAAAAAAATTATACATGGTAAACATATGATAAAAAGCTTAATTGATAATGATTGCTAAAAATTGCATACATTATATATATATATATATATATATATATATATATATATATATATATATATATATATAATATATATATATATATTCTTTTCATTTCAATCATTTATCTAGAATCTGATGTAAAGTTTAAATATCTAATATAAATTATATATATATAAAACAAAATAACAACTTGAATTGTTACATTAGGATTGGAATGCCAACATAGACTTTCACTAACCTAGTTCGTAAAATTCAGTATCTCTCTTTTTTTTAATTTTGTCGAGCCAAAAATGCATTGAATCTGAGGCTTTCAATTTCCTGACATGTTATCCATCCCTTGATCATGGTTAATTCTCCCATAATGCCAGCAAATCTTTATTGTAACAATGGGCTCAGAAAAAAAGATTCTCTGTTGAGCCCTGACTCAACCTTTTAATTAAGTGTTAATTCGTATGCCGTGTCACTAAACAAGACAATAATGGAAAATAGTAGCAATGCTGCGTTGATTATCCACTGAATGCATAGTTTTCCCCATGAACATGAATGACTAAATTAAGTAAAAAACTATCTGATTTATTTCTTCACTGAAGAAAAATATTTGTTTTATGATAGTTGATAAATTAATGATTAATACCAAGCCAAACACTATTAAGTTTCGTAAAATTATGTGCTCAAAAGATGTTGATAATTAAAAAAGAACTTCATACGTTTAGCTCCCTCTAGCTAGACTTGAATCACACCTCTTACTTGATCCACTGTTTTATATGTATATGCTCTGTGCACCTCATGTACCATTTACATGGTTCTGAATTAATTAACTGAACAGAACAGTCTAGACTGTCTTATGCAACTTATGTGGGACCTCCAAAAAAAGTGCATACGACTAAGAGTCTTTTTTTTAAATTAAGACCAGATAATTAACCAATAACCATGCACTATTAAGTGAATGGTTAATTATTTTATTCCAGCACTACACTGCATTACATACTTAATACAGATATATGTACAGTTCCCATGACTGTCAAAATCTTTTTTTAAAATCACTGAGAATACTTTTATTGGTACCTTTTGTATTATCTTGTATTACAACATATAGTTATCATTGATAATAATGATAAAAATATATCAAAATGCATACAAACATTTTTTTTAATTGTCATCTACCTGTAAATGTATAAAAAGAATCATTGAAGTACTTCAAATATAAAAGCATGCAGTTTGCAACAGATCAAACAGAAAAGAAGATCAAAATGATTATATTGTTCTCATATTCTTATCAATTCATACTCTAAATTTTCTTTTCTAAAACAATTCTGGATTTTGGGGTTCCCACAACAAATTGTTCTGTTATTTCATATGTAAGCATTCCCATGATTTTTGTTTAATGCAAAAGACAATATACTTCTTAACATTTTTTAGCTTGTGTCACCACTTTGTGAATTATAAGCAATAAAACTATGTCTGCATGTTGTCTCAATTAAAAGCATTCCAACACTCTTCATTATTCTTATATACTGTAAGATTATTTATTTATTAATATAAGCAGTCATCATATTTTAGTGCCTTTCATGCTGCTTCATGTCCAGTGTGTTAATTTTGTATGTTTACAGTAAATTTTTTTTTCAAAACTAAATGCACTTTAAATATTATCTGCAAAACCATTTGAAAACCAGCCAAATACCTTGAGAAAAGGCTATAATTTTATCATAAGGTTATGGGCTATTCATTGATTCAATCCAAGGTTTCAAAACCAGCGAAATATACCTTGTGTAAAAGCTATATTTTTATTCTAAGGTTATAAGGCTTACTATTAAATACAATTACATTTTTCAGTCAGTAGATGGCTTTGCATTCATCTTGGCCAATGATGGAAGATTTCTCTATGTATCCGAGACTGTGTCAATTTACCTCGGGCTTTCACAGGTAAAAATCTACCAAGTTTACATTTGTATTTGTCATATAGGAAGTCTTCCTTATTTCATCTAATTGAAGCTTAATTTCTTTCTGCTTTTTAAAATTTTTAGAAATAGCGTCATTTTTTACCCTTCTTTTCTGCCATTTATGCTAAGTGAAACATGAAACATATTGTCTAGTCATCACAGATGTAACACATTTGTCTTTTAATCTGCTTGAAGACAGTTATGGTGAAAGAGACAGATCTCAAACAGTTAATTTTCTGCAAAATGAACCCTATTTATGACAAAAAAGAATGTTAATGAACACAATAATCTACTCTTTGTCAGCCTATTTACACACAACATGTGCTCTTGTCATGTTTATCCTGTGATTTACCAACTGGTTCTGTACATCTGGAACCTACTACATGCTCATTTTGTCACTCTGTGTGACAATTCTGACTAAACACCCAGACAAAAGCATCTTTAGACCTTTAACTCTGAAAGCAATTCCTTTTAAAAGCATTGCAGCGGGCATTGCCCTTAATTTCAGACAGAATATAACTAGGAATTAAACTAAAATTTAGAACACAATTAAAAAGCCTTGATCTTTCCGAGAAACAGAAAAAAACAAGAAAACACACAGTCACTGAAAAAAACCCCGAACTTTCTAAATGATAATCAGAATCGGAAAAGAAGCCAAAGTGTTGCAATTCAATTACCACTGTCCTGATAGGATTGAATTAATTTGCTTCCCTCATGTTAAGGTTGTGGTTTTGTGATCAGTGTTGTGTTTGTCACAAGTCAATTGTTACCCTGTCATGGCTGATTCGGCACCATGCTGGGTCCAAACATTTTGCAAAGAATGCCTCTAAGCAGTCATAATTTTTGTTTAGCTCTGTCCGTTTATACAGAGGTCACAAGCTGATTGCATCCATTATCTCAAATGGCCGCTGGTCAAAATGCTCTGCCTCTCTCTTCTCTCTAAAACAACTATAGTTACAAAAATTCTGATTATTAAATATGAATCCCGTACTTACATTTGGCCTTGGGTTGAAGTTACTTCTTGAGATGTTTGCCTCTTCACCAGGTTGAGATGACAGGAAGTAGCATTTTTGACTATGTCCATGTACAAGATCACCAAGAATTACTAGAGCAGCTGGGCCTGGCTACTCCAAACTGTAAGTATAGTTGTATACTCCCATTGAAGTAGTACAGTAAAACCTGCACTTATGGAACTTTGTTATAAAGAATTTCTGCTTATATGGATAACAATAAAAAATAAAATCCTAGGTCATTTCCCTACATTATCGTAAGAGAAATTTTTTTATGTGGAATTCTCAAATACAAAAGAGTGAAACTTATTCCCAAGAAATAATATATTTAAGGTCCATAATGTTTATAAAGAAGTATGTATGTTTAGGGAACTTTTGAATTGTCATACTCTTTTAATTATAACATGCTTATTTTCTTCACTTCATTATTCTGTCATAAGGAACTATATAATTCTATATAAGCCAAACTGTACTTTACACAGAAGTTTATTCTCAGAATTCTACAATAAATATTGTAGGGAAAAACATCCACATGCAGATTTAAAAATTGTTTACTGTAAACATTATAACCTTTATGAAATATGTTTGCAGTCACATATTTCAAATCATGACCATTCTGATAATTTAACATTTTTTGACCAAGTTACATTTATAAATGATATTCTTCTTCATATTTTCATATATATTACATAGGTTTTCCTAACATTTTCAATAATTTAACTTTTTTTGACATTGTAACATTTATAAATGATATTCTTCTTCATATTTTCATATATATTACATAGGTTTTCCTAACATTTTTAAAATGAATTAGATATAATTTCATATAAGGAAAACATTTACCACAAACCCTTTTTTATAATTAAAAGAATGAGTGTTGAAGTATTAAAAACTTGTAGCAATATTTCAAAGTGCACATTGCTATTATGTCAGAGTGAATTATCTAACTGGATCTGACCGAAAAACATCACTCATTCATAAAAATGTTCATTATGGTTATTATAATCACGTTTTTACAATGAAAACTGCACTTTCAAGGCTATGACATGGTAGGTCGTCTACGTGTAAAGATGAATTTGATATGGCTTTTATTAACATATTTTCTTTTTAATATAAAATTTTCCCCGAAATCTTTTTTTTCTTTCTGTAATTTGCAAATACTGTAAAATGTATAAAATATTTCTTAACAATATTGCCTCAAATTAAACCCTTCTACAAATAAGTTTTATGAAAAAAATGGTTCATACATGTACAAAGGATGAATACTAGTAACTAAATATTTTCTAAGAGAATTCAGATCAAGTTTTCTTTCTATTGAGAGATATTTTGGATGTAGACATTATAAAAATACAAAAGTAATTGTGAATAGAGAATTCCAAATGCTAAATATGTCTGACAACAAGTGCTTTAAAAAAATTTGTTAAATACATATATAATACTATACTGTGACATTATTCAAATACAATTACTGAAAAAGTGTCACCTGAACTTATTTTCATTTGGGTGTCAAGTACTGAAATGAAAAAAAATATCAAAAGGGTTTATTAACATATTAACAAATATTAATAGAACAAAAGCTGTCTAGCACTTTCTTGTACTGTAAAGATTTCTGTGATATGCTGTGGAGGGCACTTGATTTATTTCTACTACAGTGAAACAGCAGATATTTTAATTTATAACATAAAATGCTTGGTCATTTCACTTTCACAGCCCCCCCCCCCCCCTTTTCTTTCAACTGTTATATTTGACCATTTCAAATCAAGTTTTAAAACATTTTTTTAGGATGACACTTTATCAAAGTTAAAGATATATATATTATATGTCTTCTATAATTCATGATATTTCTAACAAACGTATTTACTATGACTAGTGTATTCACTTAAAAACAATTCTTTTAACTTATAAGAAAAACAATTTTTCTTTAAAGACTTTTCATTAACATTATTTTAAGTGATATTTTGCATTGCTAAACTAATGATAATAAACCTAAACAACCAATTAACAGGCAATAAAAGTCCTGAGAACTGTCACCAAAATTCTAACAAGTCGCTAAATAATTGACTTCACCATCTGATTTATGTATGATTTACAATTACTTTAATCAAGTTTAATGAGGGGGAAAAATATTCTAATCAAAAACAAAAATGTGTTTTAATTAATGCATAATGTAATTAACTCAATTAATAAAGTGACAAAATGAGGAAATTTATTATTAGCTTTGAAATTTTTGCTTCACAATATATCATATTTCTATTTAAAAATGAGACAGGCTTTCATAAATGTTTAACTTAAAGGTCAGTCTGAAAGGAAGTTTTATTTTGGGCACTTATTATACAATAATTACTAAATTTAATGAACGCAAGAATTTAATGGAACCCAAAAAAATAAATTAAAAAAATTATCATTATCTACATGCAAAATAATATGTAGCAACAATCAACCTGTCACATAAAAAAAAAATCAATAAGATTTTCTTCTTTTTTTTTTTTTAGCAGGGACCATACCTGATGTACCATCTCCAAGCTCACAGTCAGATACTGGCTCAGCGCCATCTACACCAAGGGCAACAACTCCTCCCTCTCCAGACCAAAGTGAGTCCTTAAACTATATCTGAAAAAAAAATCTGATACAAGTAAAAACAGACACCATCTATTTAAATCAATTGTCATACTAATTGATAATAGTGATATATATTGGCAGCTAGGACAAGATAACATTAAACTAAAGAAGGGGTTGCCTTATGATGTCATATTATTTTTTCGTGGATTTAATTTTTCTCAGCTTGCATAATTTTTATTTGCAGCAAATTTCATGGCTCCAAATCCAAACAAAGGATTGAAGCGGACTTTTTGTCTCAGGATGAAGTCAACATTAACAAAGAGGGGTGTGCATATAAGAACATCTGGATACAGGGTATGGACGCTTCAATGCTATTGCAGTATAATACAATTTAACTTTGGTATCTCAAACATTGATATCTTGAATACCATGCATATGTCAGTGTTGGAAGTCCCAACCACTTTTTCTTTATCTCTTGTTCCAATATATATTGATCTCTCACATATCTCAAAGTTTTTCTCGGTCCCATCAAGTTCAATATAATGAAATTTGACTCTAATTAAAAAATGATACATGTAATGTCTGGTATAAATTGATCATATATCAATAATTTAGATTCTAAAGTATCTAAATTTCAATTGACATCTCAAAAGAAAAATTCATTTCAGTTGTCCATCCCTCATCTCACACTCAGCAATACAGTTCCTTAAAGGACTCTAAATTCAGTTCTATATGTCTATCAAAATGTTTTTGTCATAGTTGATCATTGATATTCCTATATATATTGGACAAATACAAGTTTAAACAAAGGTAATCAAAGATTGCAGAGCTCACCTCAATGAATCTTATTCTTTACGTAAGGCAAAGTCCTACACTAATCTAATAATCTAGTAGTGTGCATCCCTAGATGCAATATTTATGCAATTTTGGTCTGATAGGGCTTGCAGTTACTTGGGAATGGACTTGTTCTAAAAACTTTAAACTAGTCACTCATCCAGAAAATATAGATCAAAGCCAGCAACTGAAGCAAGTTTGAGAGTGTTCATCCCTTGATGCACCATCCATGTAAATTTGGTCTAGGTAGGGCTTGAAGTTACACTAGAATGAGTCTGCTCCAAAAAACTTTAACCTGGTCACTCATCTAAAAAATGTAAGTCAAATCCAACATCTGAAGCAACTCTGGTAGTGTGCATCCTTAGATGCAAGTTTGGTCAACATAAGGCTTATAGAATGAACCTGCTCCAAAACCTTTAACCTGGTCACTCATCTGGAAAATGTAGGTCAGATCCAGCACCTGAAGCAAGCCTTGTAGTGTATTCTTAGATGTATCATCCAGTATGGTCAATACAGGGCTTATAGTTATTATGAAACGAGACCTACTCCAAAAACGTTAACCTGCTCCAAAAACATTAACCTGGTCATTCTTTGGCTGAAATGGCAGCAACTGAAACCTACTGGTACAATGAAACATACCAGAAGCACTGTCCATGCATCTCTGATTAACATAGGGAATAGAAGTACTTAAAATGAAATTTGCTCCAAAAACTTAAACCTGGGATGCTGAGGGTATTTCATAAGCCCCCCCCCCCCCACCCCCCCACCTCACTTGGTTTGTTCCCGTTTTGCACACATTTGAATTTCAGGTATTGAAAAAATGTGTGCAAAACGGGAATTTGTCCAGGTAAGATAATTACTTATTCGCTATAGTCTATATCATAGTTGTGAATTTGGAGAAAGATTCTACGGAAACTTTCTTCCTATTCTTTGAAAGAATAGGAAGAAAAAATTTTAATTTTGAACTTGATATTTTGACTTAATTCTGGAAAAAAATCATTTTAAAACATAAAAAAATAACACAAAACTATAATTATACTCACATGATACTAACTAGACAGGTTAATTTAAGATTGAATTCATTTACGTATTCATTTTATCTTTATGAAATAAAGAAACATGATGAATGTGATAGGGATATTTGTCTAAACTACCAACTTCATCTTCGGTTGGATAAGTAAAATTCTCATAATGTATTCCCTTAAATATTTATTATAATGCATTGGTAAAATACAGGTAATTCAAGGTAAATCCTAGACGAAGATCAGACTATAATTGCTATAAAAACATATTTCACACCTATTGTTCTATACCTAATTATCAAATGTGTGCAAAACGGGAACACACACCCCACTTCAGTGCGGTGAGCTAATTAAAAAGAGCTTCCAATATTCACAGATGAAGTCTCTTGCAAATACTTCAAAATGGTAGAATAGAATGATGTTGTATCTGGGTCTTCAGGCAATTTTTTAAACTCCTACACTTAGTTATAGACACTCAGGCAAATTGAGTTAGGCAAATTTTGACAGGACATTAAAAAAATTGATTTTTATTAAAAGGTTCCTCAAGCTAATTATAAAAGAGATGTGGATAGGAAAAAGTCCCCTAATTTCAACATCAATGATCACAACATCCAAATTAAGCTATTTATTCAAATATAGCTCCATATGTGCACTATTATGAAAATTGTAATTTTAGAGCTTTTGTGGAAAACAAGGAAATACAGGTGTAAACACATCATAAACTGAATAATTACAGAATTAAAGACCATCAAGTAAAAATTAGACTGTTTCCAATTAATATCTCTTCTAATTATCTTTCAATCTAGTTATATAAGAATGAAAAAAAAAATTAATTTACATCTTCTAATTATTTCCAATTCTAGTTAAAGAGGAATGGCAAATTAGCAACTTGCATTTTTTTTAACTCGAGAAACTAGTTTTGAAAAAGAAAGAGAGAGACCGACCCTCTGAAGTAATACTGACATAATACAATATTAACCTCACTTGAAATTAACTTTTTTAGGCATAATGTATACTTTTCACTCTTTTTAAAATGAAAATATATTATACAGGGGGATGGACATTTTACAGGCTAATTCAGCGAATTTGTGTTCTCTGCTTAAAAGGGGGGAGGGAGGGGGGGGGGGGAGATGGAAGACCTGAAAGAAATGTAGAAGAGGGGAAAAAACCTTGACCTTTCAGTTTTGGCCTTAAAGTCAACAGAGAACTTTTTAAAGTTAAAGAAATTCATGACCCAAGTTTCATTGCAAAAGCTAACAGAGAACTATTAAAGTTATCATCTGAAAACTATGTAATATGCAATATATGAATTTCTTACCTTAGTCTTTGACCTATTGTCCTCAAAATGATAAGTTTTATTTTACCTTATCCAAATATGAAGTTATTACTGAATTTATTACAATATCTTTTGTCAAAGCTTATGTGGACAAGCAGAGAAACAAATAAACAGATCAAAAATCTTTCCATCTTCAATCTTGGAACATAAAAATTATGAGCTTTGTGAGCCAGCTATTCTTGATAAAAGATTATCTGCTGTATGTCTGTTTGTATATCTGTTTGTTCAGTGTATACTTTAACATATTTTTTTTCTTCTTTGAAACCTTCAACCAAATGAGAATCAGCACTAACTTGCCACAAAATATCCTATAGCATGAAGAGGATTCAAAACTGTTGAAAAGAGGGGCTTTACCCTTTTTCAACTTTAGATAACAAGAACAGGAAATACTCCTGTAGTGAAAATAGGAGGGTGCCATTTAGATATTTTTCCATATGTAGTGAAAATCCAAGCTTTTTTTTCAATTATTTCCCTTTGAATTTGGATTGGATCACAATACATGCATTAAGTCAAATATTTAGAAAGAAATATTTCGAAAAAGTCACTTTCTCAAGATCAGTAGGGCTACAATTACTTCAGCATGCTTAAGGTTCAAGTTAAGATACTTTTAATTTGGCGACTCTTAGTCATCGAGGTATAAAATCAGTGTAAGATCTTACTTATAGGAGTATAAGGCTACAATATGCCAAATTTATGTGAAAGTATTCCTAATGTGTATCTAGGGTTAAAAAGGAACAACAATAAGAGTTCAAATTCTTACAAAGAAAAACATGAAAATTCTGTAAAAATGATCTTCTATGAAATGACGTCTGGGGCTAAGATGAAGCAACAAAGTATTACATAGGATTTTTTCCCCAACACTATTTATCTACGTAACAGCAAGTCATATTCAAATTTAAATATCCCCTATTAATGCACTAGCTTCCAGCAAAATAACAAGATGCTTTTGTCAAGTCATTATATTTATCAAATCATAAATATATAATATGTATGTAACCTCTGAATGAGTTTGGAGTGACTAAAAGGATTTTCATTAGAACAATTATTCATTTGACAAAGAGAAAGGGATTTAACTTGACTGAGCCTCTTGTTATGATTCTGCTTCATAGGCATAAACAAACTATTTTAAGCAGCCATGAATTACTTAATATAATATCTTTTTGCATCAGGTGGTGTACATCACAGGACACTTGCGACCAAGGCCTTGTTTTGGAGCTAACAGGAAGGTGTCATCAAACATACTGGGCATGGTTGGAATGGCTGTTGCACTCCCTCCCCCCACCATTACAGAACTACGTATAGAAAGTGACACCTTTATCATGAGGCTTAATCCAGACTTCAGTATTATCTACTGTGATACCTTGTATGTTTTTTTTCTTCTTCTTGGAAATCAAATTTTCATTCCTTTAAATTCTTTTAATACTTTTATGATAAAAATGCTCTGCCCAGTACTTTAAAGATCTTTTTCATCCCCCCCCCCCCCCCCCCATAAATTTTATTTATTTACCTTATATTTGCAATTTCAGAATTTCTGAATTGAGTGAGTGGTCCTCTGATGATGTCATTGGGAAACCCATCTATGACCTCTGCCACCCAGGTGACCTTCAGAAGATGAGAAGAGCACATAAAGATTGTAAGGAATATGAATTAGATTATTCTGCTAGCATATAATAAAAACAAATCTGCAAAGATAATTATATGAATCATGCATCCTAAATAGAATATTGAAAGCACTTTATGTTTTAAAATGTATAATGTGAATTATTTGCCAGTTAAATTCATTTCCCTTTTATTATTATGAAACTGTGTAATCAGTAATAAGCTGATAAGAGACAATATATACATGTGTAAGTACAGGTATTCAAATGGAAACATTTCTTACTCAGCAAGTGGAGACTTTGAAGGTCTCCTATAGTTAATAATATATATCTCTTTTTAATTCTTATGATATTCATGAGAAGTTTAATGTGCAAACACTTATTCTTGTACGTTATACTATCATCAATTTCTTCAAAGTTTCCACATGATTAGTGTGTCCATGCGTGCATATGCACCCATATCTGATTAAAACATTTTTCTTTTGCAGTAATAACAAAAGGCCAGGTCTTGTCAGATTACATACGACTAATCAATAAGAATGGTGGTTATGTGTGGTCTCAGATGTGTGCTAGTACTCTATATAGCTCCAAAACATCAGACGTCCATACTGTTCTTACCATCATCTACATACTAAGGTAACAATGCTCAAAACACTGGGGGGGGGGGGGGATCATTGTGGCACTTCTCTACAAAATACTTTTCAAAAATACTCAGATTCTAATTATATGATACCCAGAAAAGTGCACACAATTGACATTAACATAAGAGTTCCAAGCAAACAATGGGAATTAAGCTCCCTTTTCATGTATTGACATATGCTGATGCAAAATTCATATTATTCAAAAGTAAAAGAAAAAAAATCTGCATCTTTCATTGGGATGCTCCTGCAAATATTTCTGACTTAATTATTATAATATTCTATCCAAAATCACACATAAAAAATACTGAAGATATCATTGTTAAGATTTTCTTTTGACTGGATTTTCAGTGGGGTGGAGCATGGAAATTGTGTTATGGACATAAGTCAACTTCCCACTTCAGTAAAAACAGAACTGGACCAAACATCTTCAAACAAGGATCCCAATATCACTGGAGGTACTAAAATACAAAACTCTTCAAAGAACAACTATAAGGGAATATGACTGACTCTGTTAACTATAATGATGACAGTCTATTTCTGTTACAGATGAATCATCTATTTTGATGGGGATAAAACTTAAATTTTTTGCTTATCATACTTCTGTTGGTTTGAAAAATTGAGAAAACATCACTGTTGAATGTGTTAAAATTTGATAAAGAAAACAGTAGGGTTTGTTTGTTTGTTTGTTTGTTTTTATAATAAATTACTGAGTTTTCGCTCTTAGCAGAGAACCATTCTTCATTTACATCTAGTTCTTTGTATGCTTTGTAATTATGTAAAAAAAAATAAATAAATAAAAACAACAATATTTTTTTTTTTTAACTTTACAGACCAACTGCAAGACCATGGTGAAAATAAGCATACTACTAGCCCAGGCAGTGACCAAATGGATATGTATCCCCCACCAGAATCACCCGACAATCCTCCACGAAAGAAGAGACCCTCAAGCAATGGTTCAGAAATGGATGACCTTCAAGATTCTCCGAGAATTAACTGTCAGTCTCCCCCAGTTTTTGTCTCCCATGATGATGAAACTTCTCAATCTTCAAATTCGGCATCCCCCTTAAAAATCAACAGTAACAAAGTGTTGTTCAAAAATTCCAGAAGAAAGATGGAAAAACCACGAAAGAGGCACAGAGGGAGTTTAGACAGTGACAATTTGGTTTTTCCTGAGAGTTACGGGCAAGAAATATCAAACAGCAGTGATAGTTTACAGAGACGTTTATCTTGTACAAATTTGCTACAGGACAATAACAATGTTTCTCCACCTGTCAATGGCTACCATTCTCACTCTGAGTCACCAAAATGTTTGGAAGACTACAATGTACCTGCTCCAGAAGATCTATCACTACGATCACTAAATACAAGACAGGACTCCATGACAACAAATACACAGAGAAAAAATTGTTGGCATTCACCTGGTGCTGTTGATCAAAATGGCAATCGTAACATGTCGTCTGTCAAATTCTTGGAGGACGTTATGAATAAACATTTGCCAAATCTGTCTCAACTCACCAACCATGATATTAAGCCATCTTCGGCTATAATGAGTGATATCATAACAAGTAATATTGTCTCAAATTCTCAGAACAGACAGCAGTCTCCAAATCAGTGGGGAGGTTCAGAAACTGAAACACACCCTGCATCTAGTCTCTTACGAACTCTTCATGCAAAACGAGAATCAGTCATTCGAAGCAGCAGTAATACCAGAACTTTTCCTATGGAGAGCTCAGCTATAAACATGCTGACTCCTCCCAGTAATGATGGATATAAGGAACAACTGACTTTGAACATACCTCAGATTTCAGTGAGTGCTAAGGGTTCCGTTCTTCCTTCTTATTCCTCTGCTAGTCACCTGACTGTCTCCACGACAACTGAGAGTTTCAATATGACTCCTCCTTCATCAGTCTCACCCACAGAGAAACTTATCTCCCCTTTTGGAATTGAGGGAAACTTTGACCACGGATCTAGTGCTTGCAGTAGCCTGACCCACGTCACAAGTCCTACCGTGACCTTGAAGTCTCAGACATTTCCCTTTACTGTGTCCTCCACAGGGACGGACTTTAACTGTGTAAAAACAACTGGCTACAATAACATCTCCCCAGCTTACCATACCAATGAGTATCCTCACCTTAGTCATTCACAGAATTCATTCTTGTCCTATGATGTGAGGCCAGACACTTGGTACCCTGTTTCCTTTCAGTCCTAAGCAGAGAGTGTTCATTTGATGATAACTGCAAAAGAGTGTTCAGTATTCAAAAAATATAGCAATATAATGTTTTGAAAAAAATAATTGTTAATTAATGCTTAAATGTTGTTATTGTGTTCATATGTTGGGGTTGTTATGTGTCAAATCACTTGTTAGTTAGTATACACTTCTACATTATAAAAAAAAACTTACATAAATGTATACCAGTCTTTATATGAGTCTTGAAGTCATGTTATTGAGAATTTGGTGTGTTGAATTAGCATTACTGCCAAAACCAAGGGTAAATACTAAAATATGATTTGATATTTTTCATTTTTTTTATATATATATATATATATATATATACACAGTACTTAAATATCAACTGATTCAACTCTCTAAAATACCAAGAAAAAAGTTCCATCTTCAAACATGTACATTTAAAATAACTAAAACAATGTTACAGTCATGTAACTATACAGTCAAACCTCGTTATCTCAAACTCGATGGGACTGAGCAAAAACTTCGAGATATCTGAGGATTCAAGATATCGAGGGTAAGATACTTAAAGAATAAGTGGTAGGGACCCCAAAATCACTTCAACATATCCATGGTATTCCAGATATAATCAGTGTTCGAGATACCAAAGTTCAACTGTATGTTCAAGTTGTTCAATTCATTTTAAAATTTTATCCCACATTCATTATATTTGATATTCATTATGTTCAATTTCAAAATTTTTGGCCAGAATAAGGATTGACATAACAAATTGCAAATTATACCTCATAATAATTGTGTTCAAGGAAATAGCCATTGATCACTGTTTCAGTTTTTCCATCTAGTACAAGGGTCATTCATAAATACATAGAAAATGTCGCTCTTCATCATATTATTTTTAAGAAATTTAAGACTGACACATATCACAGTAGTATTTATTTTGTTGATGTGTGCAGTTTCATTTTATTTTATCAAATGGAACTCAGATTCAAAATGTTTTGTCACCATGGAGCAATCTTATCATCGTACTGGTAACATCAAAGACAAAATGTCCGGACAGTTTGTAAAAAAAAAAAAAAAAACCTCTTCATTTTACACACAGACAGTGGTGCCTTACCCAATTATTGAAATAAGTTTCTTGAATACTTTATACTTAGTTTGCTAACAATTATTAGAGTATCAAGATAAGTCATCAATGTGTTCAGTTTTTTACCATGTAACTGACAGCTTTCACTAGTTCCGCAGCCAGTGAAACGCACATCCCTTTCCATGACGTTACTAATGATTCTGACCAAATTTTTACTGATAATTCATTTCCTTCGAGGTTGTTGATCGTCCCATAGAGAGTCTCTGAAATGTACATAAAAAAAAATTCCTGTGACATTTATATACACACATGTTTGCACAACTAACTTTTGACATATTTTCTGCTTCCTCCAGCTTTTTCTTAGTTTGTTATGGAAATTTCTCAGGTGCAACACAAAATTGTATCACTACTCGCTGCTCTGTGACATCCTGCGATGTCATCTTTTTTTTGTCCTTTTTATTGAGCACTACTTGTCTTCTGCAATTGATTTCTGTTCAAGGAAACAATATACAAAAATTATAACAGAAATCTACGTATTTTTAAATGGCCCTTGTTTTTGTGGATGAAACTGAGATTTTGCCTGCAATAAAATATGTACAAATATTAAAATACATAAGTTACAACAATAAAAAAAATACTGTATGTGTACTTAAAAAAGCGGGCTTCATATTTTAGCGGCTTTGGCGCAGACAATGATGCGCTAATTCATGAATACCGCTAAATAATCATTTACAAATACAATATACAGCATGGACTTGTGTAGCGCTAATTCATAATTACAACAACAACTGCATATCCACTGATTGCGCTAAATTTTGAATATGCCAAATTATGTACATGTACAGTATATATACTATTTATTTTCCCATTTATACTGCTTATCCATACTGTCAGCTTGGTACAGTTTCTGTATGAATTAAAGAATCATGATCTGTGATACTTTAAATTCTATAATGTTTGGTTAAAATGATTTCTCTATAAATTTTGGTAAAGCCTTAATTAAATTGACTAAGGCAAAGTAAGGAATAGGAAACTGCAATAAAACAGGCAACTTTTTTTCAGTTATACAGTATGGCACCTTGCACAATAAGTCACAGACCTAATGTTTAAGCCTTAAAAATACGCATTTCTGGGGTTTTTTCCTGTAAGAAAAAAGTGTCTGGCACAGCCCTTGCCCACTTCAATTTTTGGATATGTTGTGTAAAATCCTTTAAAAATTCACATTTCTTAAAATCCTTGTGGGCGATGCATGTGCTCTATTTCATCTAAGAGAAAATTCCACTGAAAATTGATGTCTTTGCAACTTTGTAATAAATTATCATGGGAAAATATTTACATTTCCAATGTCTTTCTCCGAGATAAAATTACAAATTGTAAAAATACTTTATTTCTACATAAATCTACTGGTTCATCGATAGGCGCGTTTAAAAAAAATCATGTGCGGGGCGGGACAAATAGAGACAGAAGCGGGGCTATTACCACGGGAATTTGCAGAATCAGGAGCATGTAAATATAAGGAATAACTGTCAAATTTTTTGGATTCATGACAATGATCAATCGAGTGGCTTGCGTGATAATTTTATGCATAAACGCCTTCGGCGTTTATGCAAATTATCACGCAAGCCACTCGATTGATCACATCATGAATCCAAAAAATAAGACAGTTATCCCTTAAATTAATGCACAAGTTCAAGACATCAAATTTAGTACTTAGGAGGTCACATGAGAAAAACGATTTGTAAGTTCTTACTGCATGGAATTTTGAGGACTCAGAAAGCACGAGTTTTAATTTCTTACTTCACTTTCATATTTTAGAAAAATACAGGGCCAGATTAGTATTGAAACTGTACTCTGTTCTTTGTGACTGTGCTTTCTGAAAATATGTTAATATTATTATATTCACTAGTCAAATTACAATCATGGATGTCCTCATGCAAGTCCATTGAAAATTTCTATTGATCATGTTGATGAAGGAAACAACTCTATTTTCTCGTGGTACTTTCAAGAATATTTACCATAATGTAACCCTTTTTTTCATATTATAAAATCATGCGATTTTTTTTTTTCATTTTTATCTCAGGGTATTCCTCCACCCATCCCCCTCCTCCAAGGGTGGGGATACCTGTTCTTCCACATATAAACCCATCACCTGGAGTTTCAGCCCTCAGGTGAAGTCTCCAACATCGCATTACCCTAAACATGAACAACAAGGAATGTATGCCACTGCTAATTTCCCGGTACTGCAAATTTATGTAGGCCTACTTTTTTCCATGGGGTCATAATTCTGCAGAATCATTATTCTATATATTCAATCCGAGAGAAGAAGACCTTAAATGCAAGATTGACAATTTCAAAAAAGAATACATATAATAGACATTTATCATACTATGATTCATAAGAAAGAAAAAAAACCTTCGTTTTTATTAATTAATTGTCAATCACTTAAAACTATGTTTTGCAAATTAATTGGCAAAAGACTATGAAATGAATTACTGCTGAAAAATGCTGAGGCTACAAGAAGTATGAATTTATGGTCACTAATGAGAAAAAAAAAACCTCACATTTTCTGTGCTACAGTCAGACAGTTGTGCTGTCAGTTACTGTGTGTGAATCAGGAGCAGACTGCTGCATGCAATGTCTTTAAGTCCTACATTAAAATGACCAAAAAAACTTCTTCAAGTAAAGTAAATGATTCTGATTGAGATTTTTTTTTAAATATGAATAATTATGAATAATTATACAACTTAACTGATAAAATTCATATTTACATTCATCTCTTACTCTATCTTCTGCTTCTAGGATGCCGGTATTGGTTTTGTGTTTTATAATTTGTGTTTACGTTCCGTTGAAACGCATGGGTCCACAACTGGCACAAGCAGCAATGATTTAGCATAATTTGCTACAATCCCTTTCCATTGATATATAGTTTTTAAATGAGAAAATGAAGTAATTATTGCAAATCTTTAAATGGCGTCCCGGCGAAAAGCAGATTTACTGGAGTCGGAAGATATATCAAGTGATGGCATTGGCCGTCGATCTACCACAAGACATATGGTGTCACTGGCTGTGTCCTCCGCCTGCGGCTTTGTGTTTGGATTTGCTATTGAAAAGGGGAAAGGTAAAATAAAGGAGGATACAGTAATTATTGTTATGGTTGCTCTTTATTGCACGAATTTTAATGCCCTGAAATGAACCAAGTCAAACCGAAAGTGAAAGTACATTTAGACACAAACATATAAACATACCTTCATAAAAACTTTATCACTCAGTGTTAAGAATACTTGTCACTATGCTTTGATTTGCGTAGTGTATGGAAGTTCCTTCAATAATACACAGCATATTAAAACTGTTCACAAAAACCTACATGTACATGCAGTTATGTGTTTTATGCACCTGGGCTTATGTAATCAGATATTCAATGTGACTGCAATTTAAAAAAAAAAAATCCATATACAAACAAAGAAAAAACCCTGAGCTAATGAGTAGGCAGAATTTGGGTAAATAAAACAAAAAAATTGAAGCAAGGAGAGTTTCAAGATGGTGGTCAGACGGGTTCAATCACCGATCAGTAGAGCACCTGACTGGAGATTCAGGGGGCCTTGGTTCAAATCCCAGTCAGGTCTGTTGCATTTTTCTCCTTTCTCATTACATTTAGAACAGTTTAAAACATGGTACTGTTACACCCAACATGTTAATGAATTCATGCATGCTTACAGTAATTTTCTCCTGTAGTTTTAAGATATATATTGAACCTTATGGATATAGCAATTTGCATTTATAATGAATAAAATTTGTTCTTTTATAAGGATGTTTTACTATTTTTTTTTATTTTTTAAATATCTATGGTTTGCACCCTAACAAGCTCATGTGTCATATGACTTTCTGAATTAATCATTCCCAAGTCCAAGTCCAATCAATAGAATTTTATGAAGAATTTTTAGAAATACTAGTAACTCTTTTGAAGTTTGCTCTGCAATTTCATATCATGGGGTGTACATTTCAAGTAAATGAGTATTTAATTTATTTTTTTAGTCAGACAAAACTTTCATCAGGTTTTGGATTTGGAGGAAAAAAAGTTTACAGCTAGAGATCATAGATGGAAAAAATAAAATTTCCTATAGGCTTATATATTTATTTATCTTTGATCTGTGGAGAATTTCATAATTTGTTATGTTTTAACATGTAAAAACAAGTATTATGTAAACAAATTGTTCATTCTAAAAAAACAATTACTGGTTGTTTTGTGTCCTTACCCTAAAAATATTTATTTTTGATGTATGATTGAAACAACAAGTCAATAACATTCTTTATTTTTTCAGTTCATGAACCCTTTGTTGTTAAAAATCAGATGTTGTTGTCTCAGTTTGTGATGATGAAAATGTTCCTTTCTGGAGTCATCTCAGGTAAAACTAGGATAAAACATGCTGTGGAATCATTAGATTTCGTGGTGGTTCAATTTTTCGTGGAATTAATGGGTACCTCTCATCCAGGAATTAACATTCTCCATGAATTTATTTATTAGGGTTACAAAGTTGTATTTTCTTTTGTAGTTTTAAAAGAATACACAAAATTATGTTCTCATGAACCAGTAAAATTTAAGCAATCCATGAAAATTTGCCCCCACAAATTTTACTGAATTCACAGTAAAAACAATACTTTCTAGCTCTTTTTTAATGTCTGAAAGTTAATAATGTGATAATTGACTTGATTGCCTGCTGAATTGTGGACAAATCTTACTTTTTTCAGTGATTTCTCTCTAAAACAGTTAATTTGGGCAAAATTTTACATATTCTGAAAGAATTTTTCCTTTAATTTTTCATTAATTATCCATCTATGATGGATATGATACCAGATATTTGAAATCTGTAGATAGTTTTTTTATTTTTCAACTTAAAAAAATTGATTTTATTATGTGTGCAAAACTCTTCTTTGCCTTTTGAGAGCTTGAAATAATAAAGTTTATTTTTACCTTTGTTTTTTAACATAGGAATGTTTGTGCTATCTGTCATGTCCATGCTGCCATTCACTAGACACCAGTATCTCTGTGCCAAGTCTGCTTTTGTCAGAGGCCTCAAAGGCAAGGGGTTCCAGGCTGTTTGCCTTGGGGGAGCCTTGTTAGGCTCAGGCATGGCTATTGCTGGAAGTGTAAGAATATTTGTACAAATTGAAACTATACATTGTATTTGTTTAAATCGGGGCTAAATTGACCCTTTTCTGTACAAAGTCCTGTTCCCTTTCAATCAGGAATTTTTTTTGAGATACCGAAGTTCAACTGTATTTATAATGACTTATATTATGTTTTACTGACAGTAGAATAAAGAATTAGATTGTAGGCTTATTCCCATCCTTATGAATCATTATAATCCCCAGAATTCAATTTCTTTAATACAAGATAGCAAAGGTTAAACTTTCTCAAATGATGTTGGTACCCAAAGTAAGGTCTTGTCTCGAGGAATATACCTGTGAAATATGAAAACCCTAGCAGCAACCATTGAATAGATATGGAAAAGGTTAAAGTTTTTCAAAATTAATTCAAACATCAAGGTCAAATGGTCAAAATTAATGGTGCCTAAGGAAAGGCCTTCTCACATGAAATATACAGGTGAAATATGAAAGCTGAAGCACCAATCGTTCAAAAGTTATGACCAAGGTTAAAGTGTTTCAAAAGTAGGTCAAACTCCAAGGTCAAGGTCAATGGATTACAATTGTAGGTATCCAAAGGAAGGTCTTGTCACAAGGAAAAATATCCTAAATATGAAAGCCCTAGCAACAACTTTCAAAAAGTGTGCCCAAGGTTAAAGTTTTTGAAAAGTAGGTCAAAGTCCAAGGTCAAGGTCAAAGGGTCCAAGTTGTTGGAATCCAAAGGATGGTCTTGTCACAAGGATTACATATGTGAAGTATGAAAGCCCTAGCACCAGCCGTTCAAAAGTTATGGCCTATGTTAACGTTTTACAAAAGTAGGTCAAACTCCAAGGTCAAGGTCAAAGGGTCCAAGTTGTTGGAATCCAAAGGATGGTCTTGTCACAAGGATTACATATGGGAAGTATGAAAGCCCTAGCACCAGCCGTTCAAAAGTTATGGCCTATGTTAACGTTTTACAAAAGTAGGTCAAACTCCAAGGTCAAGGTCAAAGGGTCAAAGTTGTTGGTATCCAAAGGAAGGCCTTGTCACAAGGATTACATATGCTAAGTATGAAAGCCTTAACACTAACCTTTCAAAAGTTATGGCCAATGTTAAAGTTTTTCAAAAGTAGGTCAAACTCCAAGGTCAAAAGGTCAAATATGGTGGTACCTAAAGAAAAGTCTTGTCACAAGGAATACACATGTGAAGTATGAAAGCCCTAGCACCAATCGTTCAAAAGTTATGGCCAAGGTTAAAGTTGGGAAAATTTTGCAAAACTTGGTCAAACTCCAAGGTCAAGGTCAGAAGGTAAAATATGGTGGTACCCAAAGAAAGGTCTTGTCACAGGGAATACACATGTGAAATATGAAAGCCATAGCTCCAACCAATCAAAAGTCATGGGCAATGTTAAAGTTTTTGCAGATAAACAGACAAACAGATGGACAGACAGGGCAAAAACTATATACCCCCGAATCTTCGATATGGGGACATAATAAAAAGTTAGTAATGCAAAGTTCAGTCTGTTTGTCATTTGGGAATTTTAAGCTTAATTTTGGGAAAAAAGAGTCAATTTTCAAATGGGATAGGGTATCTTTACCAGACCTGGATAAAAGGGTTATTAAGCCCATTTAATGTATATGGGGAAAATTCAACCTTTTCATGGAAACTGTTTTTGTGTTGTTCAATTGTTTAGTTTTTTCTGCTTTAAACTTTCCCTAATTAATGAAATTTAAGTTCTCTAGATACATGTATTCATGTAACACTCATTTAAGGATAAAAGTAAACAGCTCAGAATAAAACTCAGTATACAGTTATAGCTCTTACAAAGATTTAGCAGGAAAGGTATCCATATTATACCAATATATATGATGCAAATTTGATTTATTGGTGTTTATCCATGGAGAAGTGTTTTACACAATTGCATTTAATTGATAAACACAGTTTTGGACAATGCAAAACTAGAAATTGAGTTCATTAACAGTAAGAATTGGTTACATGAAGTACATTTTAAAAAAGGATTCTTGTTCATTTGTTTAGTGTCCAGGAGTAGTCCTTGCTCAAGTTGGATCAGGAACTCAGAACTCAAGTAAGCTATAGTTCTTTGGTGAAGTTATATTGAGCTTCTGTTATGTACATGTGTTTCATTTTCCTTTAACAGTAACTGAGTTCATTTCTTTTCAGTATACACTCTATTGGGAGCTTTATTTGGTACACTGCTGTATGGGATATTAGAGCCAGTGGTTACAGATCTGACAAAACCTGAACAAGCAATAAGATACCAATTGTAAGTAGATAGACATAAGATATCAATTGTAAGTGGATGGCAATAAGATACCAACAGAAAGTGAATAGCAATAAGATACCAATTTTAAGTGGATAGCAATAAGATACCAATTGTAAGTGGATAGACATAAATACCAATTGTAAGTGGATAGCAATATGATACCAATTGTAAGTGGATAGCAATAAGATACCAATTGTAAGTGGATAGCAATGAGATACCAGAAATAAGATACCAATTGTATGTGGATAGACATAAGATACCAATTTTGAGTGGATAGACATAAGATACCAATTGTGAGTGGATAGCAATGAGATACCAATTGTAAGTGGATAGAAATAAGTTACCAATTAAAAGTGGATAGCAATAAGATATCATTTGTAAGTGGATAGATATAAGATATCAATTGTAAGTGAATGGCAATAAAATACCAATTGTAAATGGATGACATAATGTACCAATTGTAAGTGGATAGACATAAGATACCAATTGTAAGTGAATGGCAATAAGATACCAATTGTAAGTGGATGACATAATGTACCAGTTGTAAGTGAACAGCAGTAAGATATCAATCGTGAGTAGATCAGTAGCAATAAAATACCAATTTTGAGTGGATAGCAATAAGATAACAATTGACTTTGCTATTCCTAAAAGTTATCTCCCTTTAATTTTCATTTCATGCTTGCCACAAATACATATTTTTTTCACCAAGTACAAGAAATTAATTATTAGATAATAATTAAATTGATATCAAAATTACCAATATAACAAAGTCATTTCAACTGTCTTTTTGCAATATCTCTTTAACTGTGTTTTTTTTCTGTATTCAATTTGACTTCTTTTGTGATTACAGTTTGTACAATGTTTATGGATCTCCATTCTTTGTGATGGCCTTGCCTACTGCAGCAATACTCTCATTGGTTATTTTTACCTTGGAGCTTGCTTATCCATGGGAAGAGGAAATTAGTGTAAAAAAAAATATACAATTCATTGATTATACTTGATATTTAAGCCATTTATATAAAAAAAAAAAACAAAGAGTTTTATTTTTCCATTTGACAAAATTTCATTTTCAATGGTAGATTACAGATTCAGTCTATGAATCAAGCAGCTGGATTACCTCCCCTGCATGGCCTCCATTTTTGTCTGGTGTTGTTGTTGGGACCCTACAAATTCCTCTAGTTTTGTTTGTGGGTGACACTTTAGGTATGTTTGTTACTGTTCTTAAGAAGCTTGAGACTAAGTATTTCAAAAATGATATTAATAGCATGTTGCACATTAAATTAGTAAAGGTATTTGGGAGTCTGTCGAGTGCAATGCATGACATATTATGCTGTGTATTCACACCTGGATATGTTTTAACATCTCAAAAGTGTGGGATTTAACAACAGTCGTCATGGTTCCTTTTGGTTCCTGGTGGAACATAGGGCCTCTTTAACAACAATAAATCAACATATTAAGTAGTCTCCTTCAATTAAAAGTGATGTGTACATCATATTGCTGTTTGTTTGCAACACCAGAAAGTTCAAAACTCTTGAAAAAGAGACCAGTTGAACTTCAGCATCTTGAATATCGATATTTTGATATACATGTACCTTTATCAGCATCTCTGATACTCTTCATAGTATGGGCAGTATTGAACCAAACTTGTCAGAATACCATGGATATATATCAAAGTAAGTTTGAAGTTTCCACAACTTTTTCTTTATTTACATTATAAACCTCAATATCTAAATCCTCAAATATCTCTATTTTTTTTCTTTGCCCCATAGTTTGGGAAAACAAGGTTTGACTGTATAAACATTTTGTACTACCAGCTAGTAAAACAAAATGCTAAGAACAAAATAGCATGAAAACAAAGACATTCAAACCTCATTATCTCAAAATCGTTAAGACTGAGAAAAAGATATCTAAGGGTTCAAACAGGATATTGAGGTCAAAATACATAAAGTAGTCAGGATTTCCAATTCACTTTGATGTATTCATGGTATTTAAGATAACCACCTTCAAAATACAGAAGTTCAACTCTAGAAAGATTTTTTGGTATATTAGGGCTTTCATAAGGGAGGCAATTTACCCTCTTTCAATGATCAGAAATTGCTTCTTCAAATTTCATAATTGGCAAATTAACTATTGGAAATAATTCTAAAACAGCCTCTTCAAATGGATTAATTCTTCCTTCACTGCAAAATTACTGAAAGCTCTGGTATAATATTCTCTTCAGTTTTGTTATAATTCAATAGTAGTAATTTTTTTAAAATACATTTTATCCCTCGATCCTCTAGGTGCCAGCAGTAGTTTCTGTACTATCACCTCCCAAGTTTTCCTTCACAAGTCTTCGAAAAGATTGTCACCATATCTCCTAAAATTCCAAACAGGCTTTCCAAACTGGTGGCAGGTATTTATCCAGAACAAATTATAACAAATTACAGTGAAAGTCTGCTTTTAATGAAGTTATTTCTTTCTTTCTTTCTTTCTTTTTTTTGCAAAATACATTGTATGTGTACTACAAACCAGTAAATAACAAAGGTCTGTACGAAAAAATCACCCAATTTTTAATCACTTTTTTTTGAGAGATAGATGTTTGGTATGAATAAGCTACACAAAATTTGGACAAATTCTGAATATTATTGTATGTAATTGTTACTAATAAGAATACATGCAAGAATGAAATTTGAAAGCAGACCATTGTGCTTAATTACCTGGTACGCTAAAATAAAGTTTTCACAAATAAGTGATTTACAGTACATGTACAAAAAGGTAATTTTAATTGTCATATAAAAGAGGTATGAAAAGTTCTCAGTAATGTAAGAGCAGACTTCTGTAAATAATCAAAATAATTCAACTGCTTACTTTTTTCAACAATCCATGCTTCGATCCTTATCTATCCACAGGTAACTTTCATGTTAGGCTCTATATTTGGGGCTTTCTCGTCATCCATACTCTCAGGCAGCTATGGGACAGTTGTTGGGGGTTCTGTCATCCAGTCATTTGTGGGAGGAGCCGTGATTCTCTTTGGGGCACGTTTAGCAGGAGGATGCACTAGGTGGGTTATTTATCAGTACATAGAGAGAAAAAAATTTTGTAATGTAATTAACCAATTGTATACATTTTGTTACATATTGTTGTATGTGAATAACAATTAATAGTATACAGTTTTTTTTGTTTTTTGTTTTGCCTTATCACAATTTTTAAAATTGCCCAGACACAGCATTGTCAAAAGTGAAATAACTCTGTCTCTGTTGAATCACCCACTGGCCACAAGGGCAAACAGGAGTGAAAATGGGGGCAAAATTTTTTCTGTATTACATTATTTGATGCTTAATTGATCCATTTTGCATGTAAATTAGAGAATAGTTTTGTATAAAGGATCATGTATTTATTTTTTACAGAGAAATATTATTGAAATTCTTCGTATTTTGATATTTCGTTTGTTTACAGTGGACATGGGCTGTCTGGAATGGGTTTATTAAATATGCTTTCTATCAGTACGATGACGGCCATGTTTGTGGGAGGAGCACTCACTGCCCGGATACTGCAGTGGATTGGTTAGAAAGAATGAACCAAAATGTTGACAGGCATTTGACATTAACCTGCTATCTACCAGTACTATGGCAGCCGTGTTTATTGGAGGACTACTCCTCTGCTCAGATCCTGCATTGGATTGGTTAAAAAGAACAAGCCAAATAAATTTTTATGTTGTTGACAGATGTTTAACATTTATTTATACTGTTGTGGTTTTTTTTTCATTATTATTCAATTGTTTATCATTAATATTACTTTACATATACATTTGTATTAAAAATTAAATATAAATAGAAAAAAAATGTGTTTGTACATGCTATCATCATTGAGAATTATGCAATTGAACTACAATACTAAGAGCATTGAGAGGCAGGGAAATGCACTAGACAGTAACGCAGGTATCCTATGTAATTTGGTTTTTTCCCCTATGCCAGCTATATGAAAGAGTACTGTGCACAGGGAAATTTTTGCCCCCATTTTATTTTTCGTCTTGCTCACAGGTGGGCAGATTGAAAACGAGGCAAATTCAATGAACACAGTATAATTTTTTAAACAGAACTTTGACTGGATGAATTTAAAATGGGGCAAAATTATTTGCAAATGTGAAGAGGTGAATATAACACATGGCGAAAATAAGGTAAACCCTGTATACAGTATTCTCCCTTGATCTCAAAAGTGGTATGATCAGTACATGAACTTAATAGCTATGTACTTGCTTTACAATTACATTTAGGGCTCATAGGAAGCAATTTCAGTTTGGGGGACCCATATTTTTAGTTTAGATGGGCACTTCCAAGGAAAAATTTTTTGACAAGTCAAAAAAAGGTAATCAGATGTAATAATTGGGAGCACATACACATGTACATAAAGTAGCTTTTTTCCTACAGTAAACAACATAAATGTGCAAAATTATTGGGGAAACCCACCCCCTTCTATTCCTTTGGTCATGCATTTGCAAGAATTTTAATAGGATTCCCTTTTTAAATCAGCAGCTAATCGTGGTAATTTAAAGCACTTGTAGGTTTAAGATAAAAATTTTATAAAGAAACAAGTGCCAGTGTCAACCCTAAGAGATGTGATGCTATCGTTTATTTTTCTTCTTTACGTGTGACTTCATTAAGAGCATGTTTTCACTTAAGCATTCAAATTTTCTTTAAAATAATGAAAATAAAAAAGAATATAATTCTGTGTATATGACTAACCTATTTGTTTTTTTTCCTGAATATACTGTATACAGAGAAAAATTATTGACCTTTTTTCCATTAATATATTTGATATTTGTATATTCATATTATCACTTTTATAAATTGAAAAATTAGAAGATTTCAGTTTTTGCTGAACTTCACAGACACCATAATAGATATTTTTCTGAATGCCTAAATCTTTGGATTACCACATTTACAAAGTTAATTTCAAGGTAAGTAACAAACAATAGGAAGGATTTAGACAGGAAGCTTATATACATTTAGAAAACTTTTATCTTTTTGTCTATATATTCAACTGCTGTATATAAACTAATTTTGTATGATTGCAGCATATAAAGACAGGAAAAATATATTTCTTTATATTGACTCTGATTTATAAATGTGATTGTTATATTTTTTTTAAGGTTTAATTAATCTCCAATTTAACTAATTGAATTGGAGGCCTCTTTTCTTTTCTTTATGCATTTTTATTTTTTTTTTCCCTATGTTGATTTTTTTTTTGACTTGTTTAAAACTTGTAGCTTGTAAAATATTCATGGATAAAGAGAGCTAACTTTATTTTCTAAAATAAATATTTACCGGTAGTAGACACTGGTTCCCTTTATGGTTATATATTTACATTTCCAATGTCTTTGTTCGAGATAAAATTACAAATTGTAAAAATACTTTATTTCTACATAAATCTACTGGTTCATCGATAGGCGCGGTTAAAAAAAATCACGTGCGGGGCGGGACAAATAGAGACAGAAGCGGGGCTATTAGCACGGGAATTTGCAGAATCAGGAGCATGTAAATATAAGGAATAACTGTCAGATTTTTTGGATTCATGACGATGATCAATCGATTGGCTTGCGTGATAATTTTATGCATAAACGCCTTCGGCGTTTATGCAAATTATCACACAAGCCACTCGATTGATCACATCATGAATCCAAAAAATTAGACAGTTATTCCTTAAATAAATCACCATGACATCCATCTGTGAACACTACTTAAATAAAAGAACCCTACAAAAACAAGGGGGACAGCTTGAAGGAATGCATGGGGAAACTTGCAATTTCACACCACTGTTTTTTGCCTTATTGGTTTACAGAAAGGATTGGAATTTTCTTAAAAACATCTATGTTGACAATGACTGATCCCCCCCATCTCAAAGTCTTGAATATATGATTTGCATACTTTGAATATGTACAGTCTTGGTATTTTTTATCTTCACCATGTCATGAAATTATGAACACGCTTAAAATAAGTAGACTTGCCTATGTTGAGAGAAGTTTGATCAGAAAAGCTCATTTCTTTGACCAAAAACCAAGAAGGAGGAAATTATATAGGTATATATTTATTTATATACTAACTCTTTCTAAATAGTTATACTAAAGAAAGTATGGTACATGCAAGCATAAATGATTCATCATTAAAACTGATCTATAAATAGCAGTAAAATTTTTAAAATACACATTAACTTTCACTCTGTTTTTTATATCATACTGTCATAATTCAATTCTGTATATCTATTGTGTTTCGTGACAGGATTGCAAACAAAAGATTTTTTGTGTAAAGTTATTTTTTAAAATTCCATGTTCAGTTGTACAGGACATATTTACATGCAAATGCATGTAAATTCTTGTCAACCTACATGTAAATAAAGAAAATAACTCTGAAATCTTTAAAACCTGAAGAAAAACATATTTTGCCAAAATCCCCTAAGAGCATCAAACACCAGAGTTTTTAATAACTTGGCGTTTTGTAAAATCAAAGTATGCTGTACAACTTTGACATTTCTCATTGTTTTAACGTTCATAGTTTCTATACAATATTCTCCAAGTCTCATTCAATTTCTACTATGTTAGATAAAAATGGATGTTTCATATTTAGCATTTTCTCTCCTCTGAAATTAACTTTAAATAATGATTTAATAATTTCCTTTCATAATTTTACTTGTTTTCACCAAAAATACACATCTTTTTCACCATTACAACATCAACTAAAATATTAAGACAAAAATTAAAAAAAAAAAAACAACTCATATGTATAAATGAAAATTTAACAAAATTACACATGTTTAGTACATGTATACTTAAGAAGTCGGACTCTTAACGATTTTCTGATAAATATGAAAATAAATAGCAATGCTCTAATTATAGAATCTGCAGAATTCCAACAATAAAGAATACAGAGGTTCTTTTCTTGTGGGAAATTGTTGAGCTACCTAACAACCTCTTGAGTCAGAAAAAAATACAGATTGAACATATTTGAACAATTTATTTTTGTGTGGAGGTGTGTCCCTTAACCACAGTTTGTATTGAAAAATTTACCTACATTTAATATAAATGTAGATTTTGTGTAAAATGTAAATTTGTCTGTGTATGTGCATCCAATTTGGGAATTTATAGTTACAAATTTGAAGAAGAAAAAATGCCTCTTAAAATTGCACCAATTCTTGGCGTAATTTACAACAGGCTGGAGAAAAAAATTAGAAAATGTTATGTACATGTACATTGTACTTGTAAATGTCCAATATATGACTGTGTATAACCACTAAGCATTAAATGCTTGATGATTTCAAACTAATTCTGTCATGATGTCCAGATAAATAATGCTGCCATTGAGATCTTCAGTTTAAAAAAAAAAAAACCCATAAAATCATAAAACGAAAGTCAACCAAAAATGATTCCCTAAAACATGATGAAAAATAATGAATGTAATATGAACAGCAATGCTTCTTAAAATACAATTAACCTTGTGTTTATAAAACCATCATTATAAACATCATTAACATGATAAAATTAATTTAAATTTTTGGCAAACTGAAGACTTGAATTAGGAGTCCATGTTTCGTATGTATGGGTGGGAACTGCAGCCTAAACCTTGTCGTTTTGGTCGTCGGTATGCCAGCACGGGCACTTCGATGCCGCTGCCCTCTGACCCCAGACCATTTCCGGGCACCCAACCCATGTCTTGTAGCATCTTATTACCTATGTTACTCTCTGGAATCGGGTCAGCATTACCTCCAACTACACCTGTAAAATAACCAATATAAATCCTACAAAATTTCTTTATATTCATCATACAATTTTGCTTGAGAGAAGAAATGACGATACATGTATACTTGTAATAGGTATGTGCATGGCAAATATAACATTTAGAATCTTTTTAAAAAAATTTTTTTGTTTTAATATGAAACAAGGTAAACCAGTTACTAGATTAAAGCTGATTTGAATATGCTTGAATTAATATTAACATATATGTTTGTCACTTGTAATGAATTTAATTAAAGTGTATGGTGACAATTAACTAGTACCTTCCTCGATGGGACTTTGTAGAGGTGGCGTTTTGCGGAATCTCTTCTGATCTCCATTTCCATTTGATTTAAAACCAGAAGGAAATCGACCCTGTATATCATTCCATTTCTGCCTCTCTTTCAGGAAGCGAGAAAGAGTGTATTTTGGTTCCTGTAATTGAAAAGCACATGTAGAATAGCTAAGCTTTTGTTTATTAAAGCAGAATTTTGGTATTAATACTGTAAACCAAGTATTATTCATGTCATCTTTTATTGGCGATTCGTCAGTTTGAAATCAATCCGCAACGATTTAAGTTTGCGATTGAGGAAACATTCTCTATAAATACAAAGCAAATTAATTGTTCGCGGTGATTAATATTTCGTGAGTTTAAGTAGGTCTGGAAACTCACAAATATTTCTTGCATGCGAAAAAAGTTGGTTTACAGTACATGTTACCACATATTTTAACCTTTCTAAAACACTTAACCAGGAAGATTTTGCAAGAAAAGAAAAATTGCACAAATATATCACATGTGTTTACCTCATGAAAAATAATTTTGATTTGTTAAATTGCTTAAATCCTGGACCAATTTTTGTCCAAACAATAATATTCTAAAGACTTGCCTTTTAGAAAAATTAAACACATTTATCACGAGAAATGTAAACATAAATTCCTTTTTTCTAATTTACGTTACATTTTATACAGCTTTCATTGTACTACTATCATGGTAGGATACTGTACTTCAATTATATATCTTAAAAACAGAAAATTACCACAAAGAGAACAAGAACAGGCTTTTACAAAGATAATAGTATTAATTTATACCTTCTCTTTCAATTTTCTTCTCCCAAATCTGATTGGTCTTCCAGTCTACATATTAAAACAATGTATATAAAAAAATAATTAATAAAATGATTATGTCATACACTTGTATTTCATAAACACAATGATAACACAAAATCACCAAGAAAAGAAATCAAAAGTCTTCAAGGGACAGAACTCCTTTAAGAATTTAAAAGCTCAACATGCAATTTGTTGTGTTCACATTTCTTGTGTAGGTGAACATCAATTTGAAAACTCTCTTTTATAATTATAAATCAGCCACTTTGCCTCTCCTATTTATTATTATTGTATTTAAACTGTTCTTTATTTCAAAAGCCAGGGGAAGGGCTGAAAGAGACGGTTCCAATTTTTAACTAGAGTAATTCGATACAGATTTAGCAGTTTTGATATAAATACTTTATATGTATTGTTTCCTGAAGAAAATTACATGGATTTCATAGATTGCCATATTATATGCCTTAAATTTCAGAGTACACTGGGACAAATTTACGTTTAAAAATTTTTGATGAGGTACATAGTCTAAATTAATACCATGTACGCAGTAAAAAGGACTTCTACAGTACCTTAGCCATCATTCTTGTGACTCTGGCTCTGAACGCCAGCTGTGAAGATTTTGGTATGTGTTCAAAGGAGCCTGTCAAAATCTGTTGGAATTTCTGCCTATCAGATTCTGATTCAATGTCCTCTGAGTCATTCTCCCACCATCTTATAATGCCAGGGATTCCACATGCTGGTCCTGACTCATAGTAAAAATCACTGTGCTCATCATCAGCTTTAAAAAAAAAATAGGCCATTGGTTAAAGAGGGCCTCCTTTCTAAAAGGAATAAAACAACTAAAAACCAAGTTGTGAAAGCTCTTGTAACAAAGTAATAATTAATCTGACTAGACAAGAAAAAAGAAAATATGTCATTTAAATGTAACAAGAGCCATTCCTAAAACACTTATCAATATAAATTTCTGTTAGCTAAACCCTTAGAATTGTTCTTGGGTGTTTACCTTGAGTGTTCAGCCAGTTTGCTATATATGTACAGTACATACAAAATATACAATTGCAGTCTATTTTGTAATTGATTACATGTATTACAAAACATACAGCAAGACCAAGAACAAAATTGGTTAAACTTAAAAAAAAAAAAAAATTATTGATAAAATATTGTTATACGAAGAAATTTTGAGTATGTTGGAGAAACTTAGCTTTTTAGAAGTATGTGTGAAAAAAGGGAAAACTTTTTCTTCATCAACTTGAAAAACAAAATTCAGTTTTCCCCTTAACTGGTCCATGTGGCAGTGTTTGACCAAATGCAGTGGTGCTTGATAAAACCAAAGATTATCATTTCTTTTTATTCCTATCAGATGATACTGACCTTCCCTAGCTTCATCATTTGTAAGTAGTCCATCACTCTCACTACTGCTGAGCCCAGAGCTGCTTTCTCTGTCAAAATCAATTTAGACTTAGAATACATTCATGAAAAGAATAAACACTATCATGAGGAAACTGATATGCATCTAAGACACAGTTTCAAGTACTGTGGAATTATATTTTGTGGTGGCCCAATATTTGAGGAATTTGTGGGTACCCTTCATCCACAAATTTACATCCTCCACGAATTAATATAGTATACTAGGATTTCAAAGTCATACTTCCTTTTGAAGATATGAGTGAATAGATGAAATTATGTCCCCTTGAACCTGTAAAATTTAAGCAATCCACGAAAATTGGCCCACACAATTTTTGATGATTCCACAGTATTTAAATGAAACTTTTATCATTAACAAGTTACATTTATATTTTTTCAATGTACATAATTAATATCTCCAAGGCACTGTATACAAAATTACGATCAAACACAAATATGTAATTAAATATGTTCACTTACATATTACTTCCTGTTTCCATGGTATTCTGGTCATTGCTATTTTTAGACTGATCAAAGCTGGTTGAATATTCAGCTCTTGACTTGGAGCTTCTTTTCCTTTTCCCAGGATGCACCTCTTCTTCCATCCCAAACATGACATCATTAGTCTTTATATTTGACATATACCTGATTTTGTGTGTTTTTGATTTATGATCTGAAATTCCTAATGGTGGTTTCATGCTACAAGTCTCTGATTCTGAATCTGTTGCCATGGCTTTATATTTCTTTCTTCGTCTCTGAGGTCTTGATGGGGATACAACACTCTCATTAACAGAATCTGATTCAACACACTGAATAAAGTTAGAATTCAAAGGCATAGAAAGTCTTGTTATTTTTCCTATATCATCATCCGAGTCACTCTTTCGGGTAAAATTTTCAAAATAATCTCTAAGGGCTTCATCGTAGCTACTCCCTGATGTTTCACTGATGTTTCCACAGTCCAGTAGCAGTGTCCTACGTTTCTTTCCTTTTCGTTTTTTGTATGGTCGTTTGTTAGTCATTGAATGATTTGAGCTCTTAACTGGAGAAGTTGATTCTTCCAATGCATTTGCAAGATCTTGAACCAATTCATCCATACTCACAAGACGTGAGTTTGAATACACTCTGAGATTTTGAAATTGTCGGACAATATTATGATGATCCATTTGTGACCTTTTTCGGCATCTGAAAAATAGTCATCAATCAAGAAAGATTTTAATAATTATCAGAGCAGATAGCCACTTTTCTTCTGTACATTGATTGAAAGTTTAATAGCGAGCAGCGCAAAGTGCCATTCACACTTGTGCAGTTTGAAGAGGTGGATGTAAGTTAAATTTGATAGGTATTCATTAAAAAATTATGCAGAACTGTGCTAGCTACAACGGTCACACCATCAACGCATTAGGGTCAAGGGAAAGATGGAAGTGTCACTTGGTTTCCAGTAGTAACAATAAACTGTGGAATTTAAATTACATATCACCTCATTTATGATAGGAAGTCTCTTACCGAATGTAAACCAAAATTCTATTGGAACCGATACATACGCCGATATAGCGTACAAATATATTTAAAAATCACATCAGCGCTATTGCTATTGAAGGGTTCGTTGAGATATAAGCCTATAGACAAATGAGAGGGAATTTTGTAACATACGACTGTCAATATTTGATTTAGATCTGCAATGAAACGGACATTATTTTGTTGTTGATCGCTGTTAAACGTATTCCACCAGTAGAAATGAAGAAAGATAAAAACTCATAAAAGAAAAATTGTCACATACCTGTAAAATATTTAAGAAAAGAACTAAGAATCAAATTGTGGTTTCATTATCGATCGCCATTTTTCAGCTGATGTTCTAAACTTCCTGTTTTATAAATACGTTGCATTTACGCATACTAATAATTTTTGATAATTGCGTTGCTAATCTGCGACATATTTTACTTACCTTATTTATTTGAAGTGGATCTATTTGACACTAATCATTCATCTTATCTTCAATTAAATTAGAAACAATCAGTTAAATATTTAAAAAAAAAAAAAAATCCTCAAACAAATACTTAAATTATTTTCTGCGTCGCGTGATAGCATCAAGCATGGAAAAAAAGTCCCTTAACTGGTTCCCAAGAGCACTAGTTTACACGCAGTAGGAAAGAGAGGAACTCGAATGATGGCTGCTCCAAAAGGAAAAGGTTTTATGGCTCATGGACCAAATACCATCGATCAGAAGTTTGCTGAAAGACTATTTAAACATAGTCGTGAAAGGTTATTTACTATATATATTGTTTAATTAATATCAATATTTTGTGAATTTCTTCTTTTCAACAGAACCTTTACGTTGCTAAGGAAAACATTGTAACGAGATTCACTGAACATAACTCACACGGACTTCTTCTGTTTTATATATATTTAAATAAATGTTACAGGCATCTCAAGAATCTTAATTTTTGCGACTATAAATAATTTGGGAAAAATTCCAGTGTAAATTATAAGTTGTTTCATTTATTTTCTTCATTCTTGAGATGTGTAGGGCTAGTTGCAGTACGGTAGAAGTTTTTAAGCGTGCATTCCACAGGTACTTGGGTCTTGGTTTATAAATATATATATATACCTATTGATGTGTAAAAAGTGCACTCTTTTTACATAACAATATTATACATATTTAGACCCAAGTTATCTTTGGTGCATTTCAGACTGAAATGTATATCGGTATACCAGGACTGCATTCAAGATCACAGTAGCTATGTAGCTCTAAGTAGCTGCTACGATCTTGAACGATATGCTAGCTTATCCATAACAAGCATTAATTCATACAGCGAGTTCAATATGATATCTATATATCTAACCTAGCAGCTAGGCTAGCTGCTACAATCTTGCCCAATGGAATACAAATCTGGTATTCTGCTAGAGAAAGGATAGTTTTTGTAAATATGGAATGCTTTAGTTACTATCACGTATTTGGATATAAGGTGTTGATGCATTCAAATATGGACAAGCAATTTTTATAACTTCTCTGTTTCTTTCCTTTTAATTAGAGTTCCAGAGTATTCACGCCTTCATCCAGTTGTTCCACGTTTGTACACACAAGAATGGAAGACTGACATGAAAAATAGGGATCTTATTGTCAAGGTAGAAAAAGCATTACATATTTGAATATTCATGAATCTTAATGAAGGTTGCTTTAATTCGATCTTTAACATAACAAATGTTTTCTGTTTAAATAATCAGAAAATTCTGGAAATTTGTGCATGTAGGAAATTTATGCTCAATGTACAATAATATTGATGCATAAATATCCTCATAAACTTGATGTTACGATCTTTATAAATTAAAATATTTAAAATAATGTATCCATGACAGAATGCAGAGCTAGGTGGTATTCCTCACTATGAACATGATGACAACCTCTTTTTGGACAAGCGGGAACAAATGCATTACAATGTGGAGGATCGTACTAGGGTTGAATCCAAGTATCCCCATATGGACAGAGCCACTCTTCTACGGCCAAATTTCCATCACGAGACCTCAAAATACCAGAGTGAACTTATGTTCCGCAGAGATGAAGATTATGTTGAAACCTCTTAAAATGGTCTGCCAGTTCACGATATTGTTCGACTTTTAATTGTATACACATTTACTGAAAGTCACTTATGTTATATGAATCAATTTTGTTTTAACTGTAAATATTTGATCCATTATGAAGAATTTTTTTTTTAATTAGAAATTTTATTACCAATGCTGGGTTTTGGTGCTTGTCTAGTCTTAGATCCTACACAGCAACACAACAATTGTGAATCTGTTGTAGATTTATAACAATCAGTTTAGAGTATTAAACTAACAGTAGGGTAACTGTAAAAAATAATATGGTTTAAATCATGTCTGCTTGATATCAGTTAGTGTTTAGATTATGATGGTACATTACACAAGTTGATGTCTCACATTTCAGTATTAGTTGTTATCATTTTTTTTTTTAAATGACACAAATAGTAGCCTATATCAGTATTCCATTGTTATTTGAAGTGCTCAATGTAATTATATATTTTTCAATAATTTTTAAGAAATTCGAAAATACTTTAAATATTTTTGTTAAATAAAAAATATTCCAACTAACTGTTAATTTGTAACTACATGTAGAACATTTATGTTTGTTTTGCTGTGATATTGTTTAACATATATATGTTTACACATTTTTAAGTTCAGTATTACTGTTTTAATTTATACAGAGCTTCTATTTTTATTGCAGTGTTATTGTCAAACTAATTTTAAGTTTACACCTTCACTGGTGTCTAATGTTTTTAGAGACAAAAATTCTTCTACTTGTGTTTAACATACTGTCTGTTTGGAACATACTATTTTCTTGGCTTTAAAGACAGAAATTTGTTGATTTGTAAAAGAGAAAATTATTTTACTGATCTGTTACCTTTTTAAAACTTTTAAGAAAATTCAATATGGTAAAAAAGGTATGTGTTTGTTTATACAAGTCAAGATAACAAACAGGCATCTCACAAACTGTCTTTCAATTTTTGGATTTTGGGTTTTATAGATTCTTTTTCCTTTCATTTTGACTGGTTTAATTCTTCTTTTGATATGAATGTTTTTATCCTTTTCTTAGACATGTTCATTTGTTGCGTCATCTCTCATGTACGAGTGCTTAGTGACAATAAATGTTCAGGCACAAGAAATATATGTTAAATTCTTAATCTGTATACCAATTTAAGGAACATTCGAAATTAAACAATCATAAAATGACATCAAACAAGTCGATTCCTTCCCATGGGTAATCAATTTGTTTGTATGTCGTCATGCGACATTTGAAACCATATATCACCCATATATATAAATATAAAGTTTGTAGTCATTGAACAGGTACACAGACAAACAACCATTCAAAAGTTATGGTCAAGGATAATGTTTTTCAAAAGTAGGTCAAACTCCAAGGTCAATCAGTCAAAATTAATGGAACCTAAGGGAAGGTCTTGTCACTAGGAATACACTTGTGAAATAAGAAAGCCCTTGCACCAACCATTCAAAAGTTATGGCCAAGGTTAAGTATGCGCAGCACAGTTAAGGTGCCAAATGGAAATATCGGCGAATTTTTTAGATAGAAAATACATTCTTTACAAGGATGGGCATTTCTTTTTAGGACTTTTCTGTTATTGGACAAATGCAATGTGGTTGAAAACTACATGTTGAGGACGATTAGATTTCTTATTAAGACTTGTCACGTGATGTGGCAGTCACGTGATTTTAGCAAATATACCTGAAGTATTGAGGTCATCTATAAATTCTAATATTGCAAGGGCATAACCAAGTTAAAAATCTAAGTTTAACATACAATTATTTTCAACACTCTTTGTAGTTTGTGAAAAGTGCTGCGAACCTATATAGATTCTACTATCTAATTGCTAAAATTACATTTGTTAGACCATATGTTGAATATTTTGCTGGTCAAGTACATTAAATATAGATATAATTAATTCATTTGCAAGATTTCAACAGGTTCGCAGCACTTTTCAAATATCTTCATACTTCTTGAGTTAATGTGTAAAAGCTTGTCATAATTCATTGAGGGTATGCCCTTGCAATATATCGATTTATCACGACCCATTTATTACCCTTCAATGAATCTGCATACAAATATACGACAGTTTCGCTTGTCTAGGGAATGTACGGGAAGTATATGAATAAAATCATAAAACGGACATTGCATCCAAGTTAATGGTCTCTTATATATCTACAATTTATATTTTACTTAACTACAAAATACATTTTTCATTGTATAAATATAACTTGATCCGCCTCTCACTGCATACAAACTGCGTCAAATTTTCCGATATGACGTCACATTGACAAGTGCATTGCGATCAGTGAATTGTTTATATATTGCTGTGTGGGATTTAACCAATGACAATAATGCATGCACTAGTTAGTATTGATGTAGTTTAAAGCTATTCATGAGTTTAAAATAGCAAATCATTTCATTTTGTGGTAATTTGAAGAACTTATATTTTTGTGTGATGTCATAGTAAGCATTTCCCGAATAAATTAGGCCCCGCCTCCTTACTGCAGCCTTAACTGTGCTGCGTGGTAAAATTTTGCAAAAGTGGATCAAACTTCAAGGTTGTTGGTCTTATCAAAAGGAATACGCACGTGAAATATAAAAGCTATAGCTACAACCAAACTAAATTATGGGCAAGGTTAAAGTTTTTGTGGACAAACAGAACAAACTGTATGGAACCCATACTGGTGAACCAAATACAAAATAGTTATGGTCCATAGTGCTCACCTTTAAAATGATCAGGAATTAAAGGACAATGTGTGTGAAAAAAAAATTTAATGAACATAGAGGCCCAAAAGTTCGCAAAATCCTAAAAAGTTTACAGAGAGTGTTGCAATGTAGATGCAAATCATGTTATGAACCCCATACAGCGATGATAGTGTCAGACTATCATAAAAATCCTGTGTGCTGTTTTGAATGTATGCAATGCATTCCTTTTAGAATGTGTACAAATATATATTCAGTGCTGGTATTCCATTTGATCATATTAAGCAGATTTTTGTTTACAAATGTGCTGCAAGACTTTTTTGAAGCAAATGAAATTACAAATTATCAAACAGTAAAATCTGCTTGAAGCAAATTTATTTTTTTTTTACTACTGGAAAGAAAATTAAAGATGACAATGAATTTCTGTTACATGTACAAAGAAGCAATGAGGTGGTGGCTCATAAGTATACTGTATATTTGTCTTTTCCTGTAGACCTGTAAATTCCCTTTTCTGTCTCTGTCCAACAAATGTTACTTGTTCTTCAAATGTTGTCTGAAGTACATAATGGTAGGATAGGATAAGGGAGAAAATAAAAACAGGAAAAGGAGGGAGACAAGGGTGTGAGGAGAAAGGAGGAGTTAGATGTGAATGTCAGGCCCCCCCCCCCCTTTGTACCAGTACATGACTTCTAATCTTTGTACAATGTATAACAGAAGTCAATCCTTTTATATATAAGAATAACTTGCATTTAACAGGGAAATACGGGATATTATCTGGACAGTCCTGCATCTATAAGTTCCTTTTGAAGTGATCACTTGAATACACCTCAGAGACACTGATTGCTTTCAAACAGGAAGGCATCTTACATATACACAGTTCAAAAACCACAATGCAAGTATTGAAGACAATGCATTTATTTTTAATCTCTTGCTGGTAAATGTATATTCATGACTTGGAGTCATCTAGCAAACTTAATTTCCATTTAATGTCTTTGTGTAATGGAGGTGCACTTTTAATTATGGGATCTGAAAAAAAGAAAAGGTGTGTACGTTTTTTTAATTAAAAAAAAAAATTCAGCATGTAACTATGTATATTATAATAAAGATAATCATGCAGTACATGTAATGAGAAATTTACGTGCACATTTCATTCATTTATTAAAAGGCAAAATATGAAATCCATTGGAAATCACAAGTGCATATCTTAATCCTGACATAATTAAATTTAGACCAACACATCCCACAAAACATTACCAATGTTGTGTCCCCAATGTAACACTCCTTGTAGGATGCAAAATGAAGTTTTTCAGTAACTGTTTTATCACAATCATTGTGTAAATTTTGAATTTTTCTAACTTATCACACACATGTAATTTCAAGTTAGAATTTGCCATGAAATGAAATATGCCCGTGTTTCACATGATCAATAATGGTTATGGTTGAGTTCACATAATCCAGTGTTGATATGAGTTTAACCCACAAATACCCACATTTATCTAAAATAAGTTTCCATCATAAATTTAAGTAAATACAGTCAGCAATGAGGAGATAAGTTGGGAATTTTACCTAGTTTTTCCTTTGTTGATAAAGTTTGTCCTCTCTGTACTGCCTGGGCAATAGTGTTGGCTGTGGCTTGAGGACCAAGTACCTGTATACACCAAGATCACAAGCATTGTAGTTAAAATGTAAAAAGCAAAGGACACTTTTAAATTAGCTTTCAGATAAGTTCAGGTAATTAAACATATAGATTTCTATTCAAAGTACACATAATTTACAACCCATAGGCTTAAAGAACTACATGTTGTCTGAATGAAATGAATGCATGTCCACGCTGATTACAAGTTTGGACAGGTATTCATTTAATACAAGCAAATTTTAATATTTTTCATTATTTCAAAGAAATATCAGTGAAGCTGTTAAATAATTAAATATTAACCCATGGTGTAGATACAAATGCAAATGTATGAACAAAATATTCTTCCTAATCCTAGCATATTCTTAAATTTTTTTTTGGCAATAAAAGTTACACCCCCTAGATTCTGACCCAAAAGCCATTCCCAGCCAAATTTTCAATTCATTGACCCAAGGCATAGCATTCTCATTCTAATTTCATTAACTAGATAGTGGACATGCTGATAGATTTCGTAAATGCTAAATGTTCCTTTATTCAACAACGGGGACATGAATGTTGTACAATTTACATAGCCGTCGCACAGCTGAATTAGTGAATGTTCTATAAACACATTGAACCTCTAGAAGACAACTCACCAGAGACTCCTCCCCTTCTTCGGCTTCATCCAACCATATCGAGGGAATTGCACTGTCAATCAAAGTCAGGAAACTCCCAAACGTCTGTTGCAGTTTGCAGGCCTCTTTGTCAGAATTAAACTGAACTAAGACTTTTACTAATTCTTTCACCTCATCTAAAATCACACGGACTTATTAGAAGTCAACAAAACTCTTCACGCACTGTCCATCATTAATGAAGCTTAAATATATGAAACTAGATCTCCTGTAAAAGCTTCTTTAGAGCAAAAACAAATGATGCAGGCACAACAAATGCAATATGGAAGGCATGTACCACTTGTTAATTACCTCTCATTATATCTACTGAAGTGATAATTTTAGACAAAGCTGCAATTAAAGCAAAGTCTTCATAAGGACTTCCTTCCTTCAGCCTCCATTTTTTCATCTCAGCTTTTCGTCTGTTTCGTGAAGAACGACTGAAAAATATGTTATTTATGAGTGATTTGTGATGCTTGATGTGGGAACTATGTCAATCTTTTTTTTCAGCTTCCTCTCACTCTAACAGTTTATGAATGAAAAATTATCCTAAGAATTATGGTACTGTTAGCTACATAGCCATCTAGTGAATGGATACACGATGACCCTTGATCAGTACATAAGACACAGCTGAAACATTCTGACCAGATCTATCTAATACTCAGTCTAGAGATGACTATGTAAGAAACTATAAACAATACAAAAATATGTTTATGAACTTTTAACAAATGAAGAATAAAATAAATGAAAAAGGTGAAGACAAGCAACAGTGATTGATCTCAAAAAACAATCTACAAACAATACAAATCTGTGAAACAGGGCATAAAACTAAGACCCCAGGAAATTCCAGAGGTGGGATCAGGAGGGCTAGGAGGAGTAAGTATCCCCTGTTGACCGTTCTCACCTGCCGTGAGCCCTGTGTAATGATCAGGTAAATCAGGTAAACTAAATCCACAAATTACACACAATTTGTTTTTGAATATGATGACTCTCACATGCAAGTGTATGACACTGTCAAAATTATTTTGAGTCACCTCAGTATATGTTTTGGTATAGAATTTTACAGTGACGTTTATAGGATCTACATCGTGTTAATAAACCAAATACAAGCAGACATTTTTCTAACTAGTCAGAGGTTGGGGAAAGGTAATAATGCATCTTTGCAAAAACTTTTCAGAGGGACAAAATCCAATTTTCATCATGCACCGATATATTGTGTACAGTTCATAAACCATCTTCCCAAAAGCAGATTCACTTATCAAAATTTGCATAACCTTCAACTGTTAAACAACTTATAAGAATTAAACTACTGATTTTAGGAATGTCTGTATCCAGTAAAATCATTTATATACTGTAAATGTATATAACTATCAAAATCTAGCGAATTTTATGGTAGTCTGTACCCAGTGGACTTGGTGAAGGTTGAAGACTGTGAACCTGAGTATTTCGATGACTGGATGCTCTCCCCTGTAGCACTGCTGGCATCTGAGAACAGGTCAGCATCGGCATCGTTCACACCTCCTGTCTCTGGAACACAAATATCTAATTAAATTATTATTCAACACAAACTGATAAAAGTCCCTTTTTATGATTCATACATGTACAGTGAAATCTGTCCAACCTGTCATGCACTGGCAGACAAATTTTGCATCGGAATACACAGGGTGTCGGATTTGACAGTGTAAAAGAACATGGAAAATAGTCAAATGGGAATAAAAATAGATTGCACAGGTTTCAGATTAGACAGTTTTCACTGTATTTATATTATTACATGTATCTAATATTACACCTCATACAAGTTATAACACATGTCTGTCACTGTATAGATACAGTTTATCAGATGACCACAAATTCAGTGTAAAGTCATAAACAGTCAATGTAATTTTTCTGTGATGTAATAAATGGTCTATGTATACAATGTGGTTCAATAGAGTCAATTCATACCAAAGATACTTGAGAAATAGAATATTTCAGGGGTTTAAGATTAAAAATGCACAAAATTTATTTTAATTTAAGTCAGTACAGCTTTATGGGCATCCTGTATCTATATCTAAATGAATGTTTAAAAATAATACTTTAGTTATTTTTTAAATAAGACAGTACAAGTGCGTGGTACTAAAATGTACACAAATTTCTGCAAAAACCTGACAGTTTTGTGTCGAAAAGGCAGATTCTTTTTAATGTAAAAAAAGCAAGAGGCCCATGGGCCACTACGCTCACCTAAGTAACTTTGGCTTTGTTGTTTTTCACCTAATTTCCCCCCTTGTAGTATCTTATTGTGGCCCCGCCCTAACCCCTGGGGTCATGATTTGAACAATTTAGAATCTACACTACCCCAGAATGCTTCCACATAAGTTTCAGCTTTTCTGGCCCAGTGGTTCTTGAGAAGAAGATTTTTTAATGACCCCACTCTATTTTTGTTTTTTCTTGATTATCTCCCCTTGGAAGGGGACTTGACCCTTCATTTTAATATTTAAACTCCCCTTTACCCAAAGATGCTTTGTACCAAGTTTGGTTAAAATTGGCTCAGTGGTTCTTGAGAAGAAGTTGAAAATGTGAAAAGTTTACAGTCGGATGGACGGACGGATAACGGGTGATTAGAAAAGCTCACTTGAGCTTTCAGCTCAGGTGAGCTAAAAACCATAAAACCCAACTATGTACATGTACATAATGTTCATTGAAACAAAATGCTACCTTGAAACTCTAGCCTTGACCTTTCTTTCTCCTCTCTAATGACCTTTAACCTCTTCCGATACTTTTCAAAATCTGCCCTCATTGATTCCAGAGATTCCATTTGACCTTCATAGCTCTCCAACATTGCTGGCTTCAAGTTTGTCTCGATGAAATCAGTTCTACTATGTTTGTACATCTTTGAACGAATAAGATTATTGTACAATGCATAAATAGTGCATAACCACAGAGTATGTTCATATGTAAAGCTTTCTTAATGAAGTAAGACTTGGCTATAAGGAAATCTTGGTTGTAAGGAAGTTATACCATTTCCCCATCCCTTATATCACAACAATTTCTTACATCGATATAAAAAATTTCATATTTACCCTTCTAAGGGCCTCTTCCCACTGACATCCTTCAATGAGACAAACAATAGCCTCCTCTACATCATTAGCATATTCTTCTAGAACAGTGGCAGCATCCACATGGCTTTTGTTGTTACGCAACTGATCTGAATAACAAAAAGTATTTATGTTACACTCTTTGTCTGACTTTTTTTTTTCGCTCCAGCTGAAATATCAGTACAGTGTATTTGCATCAAAGTAAACAATTACCATTTACTGAAAAGTTTAGACAATTTTTTTTCTCATCTCACCCAAATACAAACTTGTCAATGAATAAATCACGATAAGTTATTACATGTAATTCTATGACCAATAAGTGGCTACTTACTGGCTAATTTTCGTGCCAAATCAACTTCATTTTCCTTATTGTACTTTAATTTAGCAGCCATACAGAAAGCTTGTCTCCAGTTGCTGCAGGACTTGAAAGCATGCAGAGCTAGCTCCCATTCCTCAGCCTTCACATACACAAGCCCCGCCTCCTCTGGTTTCTTCTTCTCAATCAGATGTTCTCCATACAACTTAGCAATTGCCTAATAATAAAGTTTATACAAATCTTAGAATAGAGACTTTTATGAAAAATTATGTTTGTAACCCTACATCCACCATGGCAAAATAAATACACATGACAATCCAAAATGATTAAAAATTATTTATAGATTTTTCGTTTTTAATTTCATAATGTTTCTACCCCCAAAACTAACATGATATAGAACCATGATAATTTTTGAAATTATACCGCTGCATGTTTAAATAATAAACATACAAAATACAAGGACTTGATCTTTGAGAGCATTGAAACTTACAGACAAAACAGTTTAGGAAAATTTAGGATAAGAAAACCAACAGTTATGAGATTTTGTGCACTTCAACTAATAGTTACCTTGTATTTTTCTGATCCCACACTGAAAAAGGACAAAGCCTCCTTGTACAACTTGTGATCACTGACCAACGTCAAACACTCATCAAAATGGTCTGGACCTTCAACAAACAAAAATATGACATAGTACATAAACATAAATATGGTTTCAGGAATCTAAAATTCAGTTGGAGATAAAAGCTGTAAGGCGCACTGGCCCTCTGATAAGAGTGATAACTCTCCCTGGGAGAAATGACCAATACTTTTATAAAACTATCATGTCTAAAAGCTATTTGAGTGAAAGCATACTGATTGTGTGCATTCTAATTCTAAATTAAATTTCTCTGAGAAAATCATTAGCATGAAAGCAGAATTTTATATGAGTGGTCAGAGGGATGATAATTAAATCTTAAGAACTGCATCCAAAGAGGAAATTACTCACATTGGCTGATATTTCTCAGAGCTCTTGTGTATCTTTTAAGGTGTTTATCTATTGTATAGTGCTGGTAGTATCCCTCAAGTCTTCTCAGATTGTTCAGGAATGGTATGTATTCTTTTGGATCCTGAAATTCAATATAAAAAATTTGGAGAAAATGAAAGCTGCATATCAAATACAATTAAACTATTAACAATAATTATTAGACTAATTGGTGCCTTGCAGTTAGTAAAGTCATTAATTTTAGTTCAACTAGGCAATATTCATGGTGCTAAATTATAAGTTTGGTTGATCAACCTCCAAACGTGCTTTAATTGTCACCAACAAGATCAAGATAAACAAAAACAAGCACAGATGATATCTTATATAATGCACTGACATGTAAATTTTTAGAATTTGGGACAAAAAGTTCAAGTAAATTTTAAGATGAAGATTTCAAGCCTTAAAACTACATATAAAAGTTTCTTAATAATCTAGAAAATTACCAGATTTCCAGATCAACCAGTCCTAAACCCTACTATAACCATTTGAACAAAGACTTATCATCCAAAAAAAAAAAATGTAGAGTCAAAATTTTATCTTTAAGCATATTTTAAATCTGCATACCTTTTGTGATTTTTCGGCCACCATCAGCACCAAGTCAAAATCATAAGTCCCCAGTGCCACGTCAAACATTTCATTAACATCTACCAGGAAAAGAAGGAACTTCAGTGCCTCTGCTGGACTGACCACAGCATTCTTACTGGGTGTGTCTGGAAAAATAATCCCAAATATCAAATTCATTGATTCAAAACACATCAGGGTTCTCTATTGTATATTCTTTGGGCTTCTTAAAGGTTTTTAATAATGAGAAGTAGTTCCTTTTTTCTCAACTGAATGGTGTTATTTTCCAATTAAATTTCAAAATAACAAAATAACAGAACAAAACACCAGAAAATCAAAATAAGATGAGTTTTTGATTATATATATATGTATATATATATATATATATATATATATATATATATATATATATATATATATGTTGCTTTTCTCAATTTTCCTCAAAACTTAACTACACATACAGTAAAACATGGTTATAACAAAGTGCCAGGGATGAATGTTTTTGCTTCGTTACAAATGTAATTCATAATATCCGTTTGTTTACAATATATCTTAGAGCCACAGGGAATGAAAATTACTTCACTGTAAGCGCCAATTCATTATAAGCATGTTCAATTTAAGCGTGTTTTACACTACAAATTTTTCCCAATTTCACAGCCCCGGCCCTTGTATCAAAAAGTGGAGAGCCCTACTTGCCCAGTCTCTTGAATATTTTGATTTTAAAATACACATGTATTTTTAAAAAAAAAAAAAACCACCATACATCTCTTTTTTTTAGAGAAAAATACTGAAAAAAAAACTCTAGACTGTCCTTTCTGACCTCGAAGACTTCTGACCAGAAGCAAAGCTTCCTCCAATTCAGGGACTGATTTCTTTACATATGATGTCAGGATGCTCAAAATATACCTGCAAAATACAAATTCATGTAAATCATGTATCCATATGCAATTTTTAAAAATCTTGGCGGTATGTTTTAAAATACTTTTTCAATGCATGTCCATTTTCCTTTAAAAACTTTGACCCCTCAGCAGCTGCATTACAAAAGAGTCCTTCCCTTGGATGTCATATAGTTGAACCTCAATATCAGTATCTCTATTACAATAAAAATGTCCATCTGAGATAGAAAACCAAACCACTTTTTCTCTATGTAATTTAACCTAAATGTCATGAATCCTCAGACATCTTGAAGCTTTTTTTTCCTCAGACTCATCAAGTTTGATATACAGTAAAACTTGTTTAGTACGAACACGGATATTGCCAATTCATGGCTATAGCAAAGTTTCCTTGGATCCCCACCTATATAAATTTGAATCATTAATTCCTTATATGGACATAATGAATTACGGATAGAGCGAAATAATTTCACAGGTCCCAGTGACTTTGTTATAACCGAGTTTTACCGTAATGAGGTATGACAGTATTTCCTACTTGTTTTCATCCTCCTGGATCAGAGCCAGTCTCACGGCATCACAGACGGTGTCCACTTTATTGGTCAGTTCGGACTCCTCAGTCAGTGGTGACCGATTGTAAGCTGCTGTATACATAGTTCTGGTTACATCTTCTTCCCTGTAAAGACCCTCAGTCAAATAAAACTGCCATTCAAATAAACTTAAAAAATAATTTAAACAGAATTACAACTTGAAATTTGTGACTCCATTTTTTTTTCTTTTGTAAAAATATAAAAATGAACTACCAAAAGTAGGCAAAAGAGAGGGGCACAGAGTGTGCTTGTATAATTAATGCTGAATTTTTATTTAGATCAGACCAAATAAAATCAAAATCAGGTGTTTTTCTCTCCAAACAATCTTTCTATAAATATTTCTCTCAACCCAAAAATTTCTATCAGTCTAAACATTGAAAGATACTGAAAGATACTATTATGATGATTTCCAATCTAGGAAGTTCAGAGAATTGACTGTATAGGGTGCAAAATTTTATTGGTATAACCTTAACCTATATTATACTGTAAGCCTGAATCAATATCAATGTAAGGGGAGGGGGGGGGGGGGGGGCTACAGTGGTCTAATCAGAGAGCTATGGGATATTTCGTGGAGGTTGACACAAACCTCTTTGGATTAAGTTAATATGATGATTAACTTACTTTTGATCCTCATAAGATTCAGTTATATACGTGACAAACTTAAACTATTGTACTGTATATTCTCATACATGTAACATTCAGATGTTTCAGTATAAAGTCTCTGTACATTCTCATCAGATTTGGTTATTTTAACTTCATAGATTTAGTTGTTTCAGTGATTAACTTCATAGATTTAGTTATTTCAGTGATTAACTTCATAGATTTAGTTATTTTAATGAAAAACTTACTGGAGATCTGTGAGAAAGAGATTGATATGGCTGACATTGTTGATCTGCTGTACAAACAGTTGGACGTTTGACAGGAAGTTGTCGGGATTATGATCGTAAATCAGATTCATGTTGATTCTGTGTCTCCTCATGGCCGTCATGGCTTCTAAGAACTTTAATCTGAGAAGGAAAAAAATATCCAAACTAAGTACAATATTGTTTGAGAGGTCAGTGATATATATAGGAAGAAAAATATTTACCGGTATATCAATTACTGGTGGGTTTTTTTTTTTTTGCGAATGAAACAAAGGGCTGAAAAAAACTTTGAGATATCCGAGGAATCGAGATATCAAGGGTAAAATTCTTAAATAATAAGTGATAGGGACTTCTAAAACACTGAGATCCATACTCATCTAATTTTCTTCTGACTGATGAGAGAACCAGAGCTCGAGGATGAATCGTTTCCAGATTTCCCCTCGGCATCTGAAGAACCAGCTTAGTGTCATCTGGAACCACCGTCACAATCCTAGATCCACGCTCCACTCGCCGAATGCTTTCATCAAAAGGATGTGCCTTGCCATCAGATAATGTAGGCAAAACTAGGAGTAGCATTAGATATGGTATAATAGACTAACCCAATATACAAATAAATAGAGGATATTCAATGTTTTGTAGTTGGATATGGAATTTATTTCACGAGTGGGACAGGATTTTTATATTTTCACGAGTGCGAAGTCTCGAGTGAAATCAATTCCATATCCAACTAAAAAGCATTAAAATTTCTGTTTATTACAATTTCTTTGAGTTTTTTCCCTTTGCCTCTGTCTTTTCTTAACACAGAGTCAAAGGCTGTGACGTTGAGAAGTAATAGCTTAGCAGTTGTGAGATTGAAAACATTGTAACATGGATTTTTTTGTGAAGAAATTTGCAGTTTTAGTCTCTATCAAGATGATTTAGTTACTATATTGTAATGTTATGTTGTGTTGTTATATTGAACATTATGTTTTGAGATGGTCCCTAAATGCTGTCGATTGACTTGAGTTAACTTTAATTGTTTTATAGTTGTAAATTACGGGAAACTTGCATTTTACAATACTACATTATGCTCAGGTACTTATTTTTACAGTTTAATGTGTGTAATTTTATTCATTACTAGATTATTGTAATGTCATATCTTACGTATTAGTTATGTTGAGGAAATTCGAACTGATATGTCACACGTGCGTTTCATTTCATGGAAATCATTAAATATTTTAATTGACACACTTACTGATTTATTCCCAGGCTATATGATGCATTTCTTGTATTGTTAGGGTATATGCACTGTCTTAATTCCATTATTTGTACACTTTTTGAAGGAAGTTGTCAGCTACTATTTTTTGTAAGGTTGACCTTTACTTCCGGGTCAATTTGCTGTTTTTAGATTTCACCCCTATTAATATTCATGCCTCTTGTGAATTTCATGACGTGACATTGTAAGTAAACAAAGTAATATTTTTATCTTTATACATGAGATGTTGAATGAAAAGTAGTATTTAAATTGTATAATTTTATTTGTTTGAAAGTTTTAATAATGGAACTATGTTGCACGAGACATTTTCCGTTTACTGTAAACGAAATCTGTTCTTAGTAGACGAATTTTTAGAGTAAATTGGTTAAACGGATTTTGACGGGGTATAAATATGACGAATCCGTCAATTTTCGTTAGTCTGCAACTTTTGGGTTTTAGAGAAACAAGTGGGGTTAGCATAATTTTAAGATGTAAGTTTATTTATTCATTTGGAATTTTACTGGGTAAAAACTAATTGAAATTGCTAGGAAATATTTTTAGGGATTTAGATTTGATCACATATTTCTGAATTTGGAAATCTGATCAACTAATTTGTTAATTAGTGTGAATAACTTAAATTAAAGTCACATATTCCGAGTTATCTCTGAATCAGACTTTACAAAAGTTGGGAATTTTATCAATTTATTAATTAATTGCAAGTAATTTAATTAAAGTCACATATTTGGAGTTATCTCTGAATCAGACTTTACAAAAGTACTGTTTGTGAATTTACTTGAATTCTGGTTTTATTTTGGGAGAAATTGAGAAACAAAGGAATTAATTTCATGTTATTTTGAGGAGGCTATTAATTTATTATCTTGTTAAAAGGGACTATTGCACTAAATAAATTGTGGAACTTGAAGCAGACTCTTCATTTTGTTTCTTTGGTACTTAACGTAGGTCGCGGGTTTGCTGACGTCGTTAAAACTGGGTACGCAATTTATATGATTTGGGCGACTTTCTTGTGCACATTTGATTATGACGTCACAATGAAAAAGAAATCTGCGATGATTTTTGTTTTATTAAATTCTTCAGTTTATCATTATTTAGCTATAACTTTTCTTGGAATTGGTAGTTTAGTGTTATATTATTTAAGCAACAACTTATCACAAATAATGAAGGCTTTTTACGATTTGTATAGTCGATACAATACTTAGATAAAACTTTTGTTGGTATTGGTAATTTAGTGAGGAAGGCTTATTCGAATGATCGACACTGGAAATATTAAAAAAATTTAATTATTTGTTATCAATCGCATCTTCTCGGGCCTTTCCTGCAAACTAGGAAAAACAAGTGGTTGTTTTTTCGGCTTGTCGGAAAGGCCCGAGAAATTGCGATTGATTTGTTCTCACTTGGTATCGCGAAACGATATGGACACAAGGTTCAACTGACCTTTTTTCTTTTGATCGTATTTGAATTATCAGTTTTGTTTTATTAAGAAAGAAGCCATTATTAAAAAAAAAATCGCAAATACACCTGTTACGTCAAAAGATTAAATTTTATTTTTAAACAGGATATTTTTTAAAATATATAGATGTACAAGTTTATCATAAATTTAATACTGCTAAGGTACGATGAAACATTAAGACAATTTTTTAGCGGCACTGACTTCCTGTTAGGGGACAACTATTTGATTCTGAGGGAGAGGAGGAGGGGGTGGCAAATTTTACCGAGTCAGATTGTTTATTTTCATGTCGATGAAGGACAGATTATTTATTTCCAAAAAAACAAGGACAGATTATTTATTTCTTCTTCACTGAAAAAAGTCTGACGAGCATAAAAAAAGAAAGAAAAAAGAACATCAAAGTTGAAAACTCCCGGGGGGGGGGGGGGGGTGCTAGAACTAGTCTTGGACAAATTATTGATTTTCTTGCCCAGTCGAGGACAGATTATTTATTTTCAACATTTTCGAGGACAGATTATTTATTACCAAAATCTGTAACCCCCCCCCCCCCATGAAATGATCGTCCCCTAAGCAACAGCTTGCAATGCTGTTACCTACATATTTTATTCGCTACTTTGCTTTCCATGTCCAACAAATAGAATTAATGTTCTAAAAAACCTGGCTGTTGATTACGTCAGATAAAATTAATTTTTAAATCCTCGTCCCATTTTCCCCTCTGAAAATGTGGTATGTAAAAATAAATATTTTGTTTAAATATATTCTGAAAATATATTGTATTTAGCCGGGACGACAGTTGGCAGAAATTCGTAGATTTGAGAGAGCGCCTTGCTGAATAGTCTAAATAAAACATTTTATATACTTGAATTAAAGGATACCGTTTTCCGCCAGCACGCTTGAAAAGAAAAATATACAGCCAAATGTAAGAATACATCTAATCAACGATAAAAAGCAAAACAAAACAAACAGAAAAGAAACGGTAAGAAAACAACACATAAAGAAAGTAAATTGGAAGAAATAAACTAAAGGATTGATTGTTGTTTTACGTCCCTTGCGAGAATTTTCACTAATATAAGACGTACAAAAACCCTAATCTTAAGAGAAACATATCTAATAATCATTTCATTGATATTAAATTATTATGATACGATTCACGGGCCACTTGAAAGCAGATAGACGTGAATTTCTTTTTTATAAAAATTATTTTAGCTCATATTTCTGCACTGAATACCGGATAGATATTCACGACGTCAAGCATGACGTCGCGATATTTTATGGCGTCGTTCTAAAAAATGTTACATTTTGCGATATAAAAGCAATTGTCCACATTAAAATTACGCGAAAACTAACCCGAAGACATATTAATTTTTTCACATTGATTTATTTCAAATCAATTCTTTGTTAAAATACCAAAGGGAAAACAATTTCGTCTGCACCATTTAAAAGTTATTGATATTTTTTGAAACAAAATCTTGCCTCAAAACGAGCCGAAAACGACGTTTTTCTTATATAATTCAATAGAATAACGTCGAAAATGTAACGACAACAATGGCATATTTGGGATTTAATTACACAAAAACGATGCAGACGAATTTTATAAAAATTTCAGAGAATATAAAACCAAGGTAGAGGATTCATATAACTAATTTTCATGGTATGTTTTCGGACACTTTTAAATGGCCTGCAAACCCGCGACCTACGTTAAATAGTACCTGGTGTCAGGAAAAAAAAAGAATTAAATAATAAAAGAAATAAATTTAAACTTCAAAATTTGAACTGCACCATCCTGACAGACTCAGGCAGTTCAGAGTGTAGCGTCAGCACGTTACAATATCTTTTTACAGGCCAGAAATGATTTTTACTTACTTTGATATTCTTTCACACTGTGACAGATAACTTTGATATCTTTTCACACTGTGAGAGAATATTACTTTTATTCAATAAATAAATCACAGTATTTTACTGTTGAAAATGTAATAAATGCAGCTTCATAAGAAAAATTAGGGTTTGGTTTTAAGCACATGCTAAAGGTACAAATGGATGTTTAAATGGAAAATTGATTAGACAGTTTAGCAGAAGAAAATCAGTTACCTATAAAAAAATCCAATGGACATTTAAGCAGATGTTTTTTTACTTGGAAGTGGTAGAGGTATAATACAGATACAGAGCCAATATCAAGTTATAAATAGTGTACAGTAAATATGTTGTGTTCTTAATAGTGTTGATATTTAATTTTTGAGAATTTATGAGGACATGAACTATGACACTTCATGCCGGCATATTTCATGAAGAACTATAGACTTTACATGTATATTTTCTTTTTTAGGAATCACTTAACACTGCATGATTCATTTAAAGTTTTTAACACACAGAATTAATAACTTTTTATTCACGAGAACTTTATTTTCGCATTATTACATGGGACTGCCTGCTCACTAAAATTTAATTCTCACGTATATTTGTAGTACAAAAGATTATATAGAACAAATACCAGAGTTTGTGAAAATTATGCCTTGCCTCAAAAATACCAAATGACCATCTTGCAAAAATAAGGTGTTGCAAAAATTTGGTGATTTACAGAGCACAAAAATGAGAAGCGAAACAAATCCAGTATTAACTGTCATAGAATTAAATTATTTTCAGCCTGGGCAATCAATAATTGTGACTGCCAGGAATGAGAATTCAAAACTGAATGATAAATGCCCTGTTTATCTACCTTCTACTCTGGTTTTCCTGCAGATACATCGTAGAGTGTGAGTCAAGGTTGTTAACAGTAAGAACTCCTTGTGGACAGCAAATGACGTACAGTTGGAGGCAATCTGCATGACAAAATAAATATGTCCTTCTGAATTTTTTTTTAAAATCCATGTCAGATTCTGGGGCCTCTTGACGATTCTCAGTACCATCAATTAATATGAAATTCACACACAAAAAAAAGCATGAAATACATGTATACTGTATATTCTTTAAACTAATTACAAACAAAACTTAGAACTAATACCTAGTCACTATAAATTAAATTTATTCACAAAAGTCCCTATAAATTAAAGAAAAAAAACCTCAAAACATCATTGTAACTCCACTGTTTTTTTTTTTTGCATTCAAAATGGTTGGTACCTGCATGCAGTGATGTCACATTGGTCAAGGCCCGAAAACAAGCATTTCAAAAAATTCACTCTGGTATTAAATAGGGGTTTTTCCCCATTATGGCTTTTACCTGTGCATAAATTTTGGTTTGTTTTTATTTCAGTCTTATTTCAGCCTGTTCTACAGAATACCAAAGAATAAAACACCACAGCAGGTAACCTTTAATTATAGTCTTGGTATTAAAAACATATAATAAATAGATTTCTAAACCTTGACCTACCTCTGTGTTGTTGACATAAAATCTGTATCTGTTTGTAAGCCCCAGCACAACTTTCTGAAATAACACATTTCACTCTATAATATTTATACACATAGATCAACCTCAGCAGACATTATTTCAAATCTTAATTTACACATACATGTAAATGTAGGCTGATGAAAAGATTGTACTACTAACAGATACATATCACAGCCGACAGATACATTCCTAAAAGGTTCTTGTTTAAAGTAAGAATGAATTATAATCAGGTACTGCATATTGTGACAATGTGGCCACATTATAAACTTTATTACCTCATCTCACAGACTTTACTAATTTCATTCATTGGATATAGTCTTTTCTAGATCAAATAACAAAATTCAAAGACATGAAAATAATGCACCTGTTCTCCTATAGAACATAATGCCATCTGTTGGCAAGGAATAGGGAAAGACAACTCCTCTCCAGTGTTTAGTTCCCAAGGAATAATCATTTCAGATCCTTGAAATAAAGAATATCATTGATTTTTGTTATCTTTAATGGTATGAAAACATTGTTGGGATTCTGAGAAAAACTATTATCAAACTGCTGCTCCAATCCAAGTTCATTATACAGTTAAACTTCGTTATCTCGAAGTTGACGGGACCATTGATGAACTTCGAGATATCCGGGGGTTCGACATATCGAGGGTTATAATCAAAATGAACTTCAAATAAACTTAGTGCAGTGAACATGTACTTAACAGTAAAAACATGTTAAAATTCCTTCTTGTTTGAAATTCTGTATACGATTTCTTTAGTATACATGTACATGTATTTAGCAATAAAAAGATTTTTGCATCCTCTTTATAATTCACAAAATAAAAACTTTGTATAACATGCACAGAAGTGTAATCCTTCTACCAACGTGGCAAGTCAACCGCTAGCATCGTTTCCCTTGTATACATAACCGGATATCGTCTATGCATAGTAAATTTAAAACCGGTCGTTGTCAGAATAACGAAAACGAAATATACATTTTCGTTTATTGGAAAAACATGATCATACATGCATTATCGGTCAAAATAAAATTATTTTACCATAATAAAATCAAATGCAAAAGAAGAATCACACACTTTTGTCTAACAACAGAACAACACTGAATCACAGGGCACTAGCACAAGTTTTCACTGCGGTACACGTTCACATGATGGTTTGTACGGACGATTGTAAATTCTGCACGCTCACATAGGAAAAATAAATTCTAATTGCATAAAATTACAGAATTTTGTTTCACTTCGATGTTTATAATTTTCACTTTTATATGCATAAATTATGTATGCGCGCATATTTCACATAGCATTAAATAGCGATTACAAGATTTATAAACATACCCAAGTCACAAAACAGTTAGCGTGTCATCCATGTGTATGCATTAGACTAATACACACAACCTTTGGCTTGCATAATTAAAATCAAGGTAAGCCATACATACACTTCGTATAATTATCGCGCTATTATCTGTTGATCCCAAGAACACAGCTAGGTAACCCGAGCGTGACAGACAGGTGGGTATTATCAATAGAGCATTCAGTTTACCTAACGGGACTTGATCATCAAAGCGGAAAGTTATTCTGACTTCGAGATAACGCATGTGATTTAAATGAATGGGTACACGATTTTACTTCGAGATAACCGGGATATTCGACATTACCGTGTTCGACATAGAGGGGTTTATTTTAATCATTTATAAAGCAAATATCGTCGGGACCGCGGTCTTACTTCGACATATCCCGGGTATTCGAGATATCCATGTTCGAGATTTCAAAGTTTAGCTGTATATATATATATATATATATATATATATATATATATATATATATATATATATATAGGAAATTAATTTGCACAATTGAGGTACTAATCCTCTAATTTATTTATTCTTTGGCCTTAAAATGGAATTTTCGAACTTAGAGTTAAAAATTGAACTACAAATTTTGCCAATAAGTACATTCACTAACCTATATCATATTTCATGATGAAACCATCTGTTAATTGTATGGCTAATATGGCTTCTTCAGACTCACTATCACAGCACATGTTATAGACAGCACCGTCAACAAACGTCTCACACCTGATGTCAATATAAAACCAATAAATTACATCCCAGCACATATGCAAGATTAAAAACGGATCAGATGCATGTTAAACATGTAAATTTTTGCTGATTTGTAACGCACTTCTTCTGAGAAGTTTATTTGCAGGAAATCATGAGACATTTTAATTAACTGCAATCTGCAACAATCTTTATCAGTGATATTAGATATGGTTTTGAAGTGATGGTCTCTGTTAAAACTTTAAAAAAACTACAAATAGTAAATGTTTTACACTCATTCAAAAGATGAACAAAGGTATTTAATCAAAGATAAACTTGAATAGCATCCCATCTTTTAAACATGCTTTTCCTTATCTATTTTATGTAATACACATATATACAGGTAAATGTGCAATGTATTAGTATATTCTTTCCTTTGGTTGACTTTGTCAACATTGATAGCTATACAAAACTTACGTGACCAATAGATTTTCTCCATCAAATTTACAGGAGTAGAGAGTTGAATGCTGGGATCTCTGATCGTCTACACAACAAAACAAAACAGTATCTGCACTGAACCATACCACATGATGAACCAACCTTGAAGTCCAAGATGTCTGTGACAACCCTTTTATGCTGTCAAACAGAAAGAAAAACAAGATGTGTTTGTGAAACACTGATGCCCCTGTATGGCAGCTTATGGCGAAGGTTAAAGTTTCTCAAATGCAAGTCAAAATCCAGGCCAAAAGATAAAAAATGTTAAATTTGAAAGCCCTAGCACCAACCATTCAAAAGTTATGGCCAAGGTTAAAGTTTTTCAAAAGTAGGTCAAACTCCTATGTCAAGGTCAAAGGGTCAAAGTTGTTGGTATCCAAAGAGAGGTCTTGTCACAAGGATTACATATGTGAAGAATGAAAGCCCTAGCACCAACCATTCAAAAATTATGGCCAAGGTTAAAGTTTTTCAAAAGTAGGTCAAACTCCTATGTCAAGGTAAAAAGGTTAAGGTGGTTACTATTCAAAGGAAGGTGATGTCACAAGGCTAACATATGTGAAGTATGAAAGCCCTAGCATCAAACATTCAAAAGTTATGGCCAAGGTTAAAGTTTTTCAAAAGTAGGTCAAACTCCTAGGTCAAGGTCAAAAAGGTTGATATCCAGAGGAAGGTCTTGTCACAAGGAATACACATGTGAAATTTGAAACCCCAAGCACCAACTGTTCAGAAGTTATGGCCAATGTTAAAGTCTCATAAAATTTTGCAAAAGTGGGTCAAACTCCAAGGTCAAAAGGTCAAATATGATGGTACCCAAAGAAAGGTCTTGTCACAAGGAATACACATGTGATATATGAAAGTCATAGCTCCAACCAATCAAAAGTTATGGGCAAGGTTAAAGTTGACAACAGACAGACAGACAAACAGACAAACAGATAAACAGACAAACAGACAGACAGGACAAAAACAATATACCCTTGGGATCTTTCGATCCGGGGGCATAAAAATCCACTCATTTCTATGATAAGATCAATCAATTATAATGAAAAGAAATACCGGTAAATAAATTCAAAAAAAAAAGAAAAGAAAATCAATTAAAGAATTCATCAAAATTTAAGGGTCAGTGGTCATGGCCATTTTTTTACCTTTTAAACCTTTTGGAAAAGAAGAACAGCTCTATTAAACTATAGCAAATTGCATTAAATATTACAGCTAGAATGTGTTGTTTTTCTTTTAATACTACAGTTGAAGAATAAAAAAATACATTTTCATATTTTTAGGTAAATCTGTGGAGTAATTTATTGACTATACCCAGCTTCCCAACAAAGTGGTTTAACATGCATATCTGTGACTCACGTGTAAATTCCTTTCAGCGATGGAGTTGTACAGCACGTCTTAAAACTGTTACCCCCTGCACCATCTAACTTGACACTATCATCCTTGGTTTCACTGTCTGTAAAAGTGTAAATAACAGATTTGTAACAAAAACATCTTTTTAAAAACTTAGCATACATTTTATTTCAAATTGTTTTCCTTGATGGTGAAACTATGGAAATTTCCATACACGACATGAATCCATCAGACCATAAGCATTAGGCAGTATGAATTTTTCATCTGCCTATAAAGGCAAAATGCATGGAATGACAGATTTTAGAGAAATTTCTACAAACATCTGTGTTGATTTTGAAAGATTGAA